CTGACAATTTAAATGGCGTATATCAGCTTCAACCTGAAGTTATTTCAGCATCAGCTGATGGAAGTAGAACAACAGATCAAGACTCATTGGTGGTATCTATTTTTCAAATGTTTCAAGACAGTAGTTCTCAGGAAAACTGGTCTTGGAAGTCATCTTTCAAGATTCATCCTCAAGTAACAAATCTTGTTCAACAACCGAGTCACAGGTATAATTATCTACTTTATTATTAAAATACCATTAGATTTTCCAAACTGTAAAATTTATTATTTTAAAGTATACTGCTCAGTGGTTTTTCATATAAGATTGTGAAACTATTAGTACTAATTCCAAAATATTTTTAGGGCTTAGGATATAGCTCAGTTGGTAGAGTGCTTGCCTCACATGCACAAGGCCCTGGGTTCAATCCCAGCACCACACACACATATAAAATTTATTATGTACATAAAAACATCTTGTTATACCTGATAAATATATATAATTTTATTTGCCTATCAAAAAATATTTTAGGATTTATGTCAAATGTCATATAGCACACTCCTTTTTTTTTTTTTTGGACTTAGTTAAGTACTATTAAAAAAGTGACCAAAGACACATAAAATTTTGTTAAGATTTTTTTCATATGTATTATGCATTTTTAATCATAATGTATTTAAGTCAGATCAATATATGTTATAGCAGTGAAGAATACAGGTAGAAAAATAAGATGAGGGAGCTAAACTCATTACTAGTTTGAAACTTGGTTTTGATGATTACCTAATTTTATGTGCAGATTGATTGCTCTCTGGAGAATATTGTACAAAAAAACTTTATGGTATCAAGCACAGTTAAGTCGAAGAATTCCTGAAGGTGACAGACAGTTAATTGAAAATATAGCAAATGAAGCATCTACTGTCAAATCCTTGTTATGTCATATACAGGCTAATTTACAGACTGCTGGAGATCACTTGAACCAGGCCTTAGAACTTACATCAATCCATGGTCAGTGTCTTTTAAAGAATATCTAGCTCTGTAAATGAGTGAAATAATTAACTGGGCTTTGGTTTTTTAATTGGCTGCAATTTATTTGTTGTTCAAAATATTTTCTGGCTGAGATGTATTGAATTTTTGAACAATAAATTTTTATAAATTAACATAATTAACTATGACTAATTATTGGTTAAAAACTTCTTAGGTGAAGAATGTTTTCTGATAGGATCATATGAAAAGTCTATTCAACTGTGGAAGAAAGCTCTAGAAGAAATCCAAGAGACAGGTAGGGGGGTATTAAAAAATGATACATGCCATAATATTGGTGAGAATATGTATTAATTTGCTGCAGAGCTCTGAAATAATTCCAGCATTCAAAGTGCTCACAGTATCCTAATGCCCAGGTAGAACATCTGTTTTGTCAACTTGACTATCAGAAATACTTATTTAAAATTATTTTTAGTCTTGAAATTTGTGCCACTAGGAATCTTTTCAGTGACCTCTGGGAAGTCTCTTGTCCTGTTTTTTTTGTTGCTAGAGCTGAAACCTGTGGTTGATTGTTAATGGAGACCAATGAGATTTAGATCCTGAATAAAATAATGTTTATTTTTTGTTGTTGTGTAGAGGTACTACACATATCCAAATGGGAAACTGTAGACCAAATATTTTGCCACTTTCTTGGAGAAACCTGGAACTGAGCCTCCTTGTCCTTAACTTATATAAGAATGTCCTGTTGGTTAAATATATTGTTGGGTTAAATATGATTTACATGGAGTTTCTGATAAACATATAGCAACTCTAGAAACTGGTAACATCTTTTATGATATAGGGCTCAGAGTGTGGCTGAGATAACAGAAGTTCTCAGCTGGTAAGCCTGGAGCTAGCCCTGATTGCAACTAGTACATGGTCAGATTGGGCCGATTATTACCTTTTTTTCGGGGAATCTGGGGATTGAACCCTGGGCACTTAACCATTGAGCCACACCCCCTGCCATTATTATTATTATTTTTTGAAACAGGATCTTATTAAGTTGCTTAGGACCTTGCTAAATTGCTTAGGTTGGCCATGAACTTGCACTCCTCCTGCCTCAGCTTCCCCCAGTCACTGGGATTATAGGTGTATACCACCAATACTAGCTGGGCCAATTATTACATTTATTTTCTGGATCTTGTGGCTTTGTATGCCTCATGTATTCATTCATCACTTAATTAGTATGTATTTGTGCCTGCTGTCTGCCTAGTACTATACAAGGGACTAGGGATAACTGAAATAAAAAACAAATTTGCCCTCAAATTGCCCACGTTTAACTTCTCTCTTTATGTTGTGTGGTAGGTCCCGGGAGCACAGAAGAACATTTCACACCATCTGGGTTTGGGGCACAAACAGTCTGGAGAAAAACTGGGGGGATTGATATTTAAAATTGAATATAAATTGGCCAGTTAAGGCAGTGGAGATGGTTTAACAGAGGAAATAGCAGTCTAAAAAAAAAAAAAAAAGACCTTAGGAACCAAGACGGTTTGACAAACCACAAGTAGTTTAGTAGGACTAGATTATATGACACATAGGTGATATTGGTGATAAGACAGTGAGAGGTAGATGGAGAACTGATGGTGGAGAAAGGTCTTTTATGGAGTCGGAATGGTTAAGACTTTTTTTTTTTTTTTTGTAGGAAAGGGACCTGTTCAAATGAATGGATAAGTTCTACTATAACAAGATTTTTCAACTTTACAATGACCTTAAAGTAATATACCTTCAGTAGAAACCTTACTTCAGACTTTGCATTTTGATATTTTCTGGGCTGGCAGTACATGGTATATAAGATACACTCTTCCTTATGCTGGGTAGTGGCAGTGAGTCACAGCTCCCAGTCAGCTATGTGATCACAGGGTAAACAACTGATGCTCTGTGGTGCACTGTTTTGCTAAGCTGTGATGTTCCATGGGTTGGATGGATAAGTGCATTATTTTATTTATTTATTTGTAGTACTCAGGGTTGAACCCAGGGCCGTATGCATGCTGGATAAATGCCCTACCACTGAGCCACACCAACCCTTGTAAGTGCATTTTTGACTCAGAATATTTCTGAGGATGGTTTTATGGGAAGTTAAATATGGGCAATTTGAGGGAAAATTTGAGGGCAAATCATGATGTGACCTTATGGTAAATCAAAGGATATGTGTATAAGCCATTTAGAAAAGCCACTTTGATAGCTTGTGAAGGGTCAGTTGTAGGACTGTGGTGTAACATTGTAGGTTTTACCTAGAAGCAGGGAAATTAGTGAAATGAACCAAAACAATGTCAAAGGTAATGAAATGGAAGTTACAGTTGACAAATATTTAATAAGTTTGATCAGCTGGACTTGTGATTCAGTACATTTGAAAAAATTTCATGTAGTTCCAGTTGAATGAAGGAGGGTAGCATTCAGAGAGATGGGCAGTTCTGGATGAAAAAAAGTTTTCATTATGAGTTCTTTTGTTTTAAATTTTTTATTTGTTTTAATTAGTTATACATGACAGTACAATGACCTTGACATATCATACATTATGAGTTCTATTGTGAATATTTTATTATAACTTTTAACCACTAGGGATGGCTACTAGTAATATAGAAAGTGGCAGAGCTTCATAAGAAAATTCTTTTTCTTTTCTTTTTTTTTTTGAAACAGTTTCATTATGTTAGCCTTGAACTTCCAGGCTCAAGTGATACTTCTGCCTCAGTCTCCTGAGTAATTGGGACTAAAGTGGGTGTCACCATGCCTGGCTACTTTCTTATGAAAGTAAGCCAGAATTTGGCAGATGGGGCTAATTTGCTGTTCCCAGGGTATCATTAAGAACCCAGGCTCGCTGGGCTCTATGGCATATATCTGTAATTCAGCAGCTCAGGAGGCTGAGGCAGGAGGATTACAAGTTCAAAAAAAGCCTCAGCAACTTAGTGAGACCCTGTCTCTAAATAAAATATAAAAAAGGGTTGGGGATATGGCTCAGTGGTTAAGTACCCCAGGTTCAATCTTTGGTAAAGAAGAAAAGAACACAGGTTCCTTTTTGGGCATTTTGGCACACACCTGTAATCCAGGTTGCGGCAGGAGGATCACAAGTTTGAGGCTAGCCTCAGCAATTTAGCAAGGCCCTAATCAACTTAGTGAGACCCTATCTCAAAAATAAAAAATAAAAAGGCCTAGGGATGTTACTCAGTGGTAAAGCACCACTGGATCTAATTCCTAGTAACCTTTCCTCCCCAAAACAAACAAAAAAAGAACCCAGACTCCTTTGGTTTTTCTGTTCTATTATCCTTGGTGCATTATTTCCAATTTTAAGACCATTACATGGAATAAATGGCTGTTGGAGTTCTAGCCATCACATCCATGTTCTATGTTATTCTTATTGTTTCTTCTCCTTTACAAAGTCTCTTTAACTATCTCTTGGATATATGAATGGCTCTTTGGGGGTATTGTGACATGTTTCCTTCTATTCCATACTCTGGGTACCTGATGTAGAAGTCATTTGTGGACCTGAGTTCTGAGATGATGAGAATTTGCATCTCTCTTTGGAAAAAATCTTAGTCATTCTAGGGCTTAATGAAAGAAAGTAAAACTGAAAAAAGATGAAGTATTGTTTACCTGTTATTAAAAAAATCTTTTATTAAAGTTTAAAACTGAAGTATTGAAGTATGAAACTGAAAAGTTATTTTTCTGAAACTATGCACACGTGTTATCCCAGCTACTCAGAAGTCTGAGGTAGGAGTTATCACAAATTTGAAGCCAGCCTCAGCAATTTAGCAATGCCCTGTTTCAAAAAATAAAAAGGACAGGAATTGTAGCTCAGTGGTAGAGCTCCCCTGGATTCAATCCCCAGTACCACTAAAACAAACAACAAAACCCAGAAAGACCAAAAACCAGATACTGAAGGGTATATACATTACAAGTGTGCAGCTTGATGAATTTTCACAAGTTGTATCCTTCTGTTTGCCTAGCACTAGACAAAGAGCATTCTCTTGTTAATTTGCTTTTAAGGTAAGCTTAATTCTTTCCTGTTTCAGGAGGAAGAAGGACCTGTTTTTTTCAGATACGTTATTATCTCTCTCTATTATACTGCTACCTTTATAGCTATAATTTAAATGATGCTCAAGGATTATGTGATCAGCTAGTAAGAGAAATACTGAGATGGTCCCAACTACCTATTAAAGAAAATGAAGATTGTTCAGGTATGCTTTTAAAAACAATATATTTAATCTTGTTAATTCATATTTAGGGGATTCTATAAGACATTGCTTATATATAAATGTCAGCTCTCCTGCCTCAACATTGAATAAGTTATGTTACATTTTGGACTGTCAGTTTCTCAGTAACAAGGATCGTACTGAGTTTTTTGTTTTGTTCATTTTTAATTGTAAGATCCCCACAATTATAATAATAATTGCCTGATGAACTGATATAAATATTCTCTCATACCCCATTTATTAGATACAATATCAGGTATCCAGTATTTTTCCTTAATATGTTTATATTTTCTTTAAATGTTGCTGAAAGTGGTTTAGAACGTCATGTAATCACTTTCTGAGGCATTCTGAGTATTCTTTAATTTGTGTAAGAGACTGTAGAGTATCTGGATTGTGTTTTTTCAAAGCCATATATTTAAATTAAACAGAAAGCATAGGGGAAAATATATATGAATGAACACTTAATGTATTTATAATGATTAAAGGGTAATCAGCTGTTAGCTATATACCACACACACATGAATGTGCCTGAAAGGCCCAAAGTGGCAGAACTTTCTAAATAGATCGGGTCTTTCTAAGTAGAGTTCATATTATTTTTAATATGGAAACCTTATGTTTTTATGTATATACTTATTATTATTGTTGTTATTATTATTTGCAGTGCTGTAGATCAAACATATGACCTTACACATGATAGGCAAGTGCTCCATTATTGAGCTATACCAACAACCCCATATCTTTTTAAATTTTAGTATTTAGGGTTGGGGTTGTGGCTCAGTGGTAGAGTGCTCGCCTAGCATGTGTGAGGCCCTGGGTTTGATCCTCAGTACCACATAAAGATAAATAAATAAAGGTATTATGTCCATCTATAACTAAAAAATATTTTTTAAAAATTGTGTTTATTATGACATTCATTTTAGACAATTTTGAAAATATGAAAAAAAATATAAAGAAAATTACAGTGTATTACCTTTTTGTTTAGGGCCTTTCAGTGTGTGTGTGTGTGTGTGTGTGTGTGTGTGTATTTTCCCATTATTGTACATTTTAAGCTTTTGCCACACATTTACTGTTTTAAAGAATGCTTTAGTGTACGTAAATCTTTGTGAACACTATAATTTCTTTAGGAATCGGGTAGTCACAATTGAAGATTTTCTGTTTCTGTTGTCAAGTTGCCTTCTAGAAAGGTTGACTGGCTGTGTATGAATGAGACTTTTGTGTATGACTTTTTTTTTCTGGTATTGGGAATAGAACCCAGTAGTACTTTATCTCTGAGCTACATCTCCAGCCATTTTTAATTATTTTTTAATGGATATTTTATTTTATTTATTTATATGTGGTGCTGAGGATCTAACCCAGGCCTCACACATGCCAGGCAAGTGCTCTACCACTGAGCCAAAACTCCAGCCCCCCTTTTTAATTTTTTAAAAAATTCTCATATAGGGTCTCACAGAGTTGCTTAGGGCCTCACTAAGTTTCTGAGGCTGGCCTTGAACTTGTGATCCTCCTTCCTCACTTTTTTTTTTTTTAATATTTTTTTTAGTTGTAGATGTACACACAATATCTTTGTTTATTTATTTGTTTTTTATGTGGTGCTGAGGCTGGAACCCAGAGTCTCACATGTGCGAGGCAAGCACTCTACCACTGAGCTACAGCCCCAGCCCCTCCTTCCTCATCCTGTGAGTTGCTGGGATTATAGGCATGCACCATTGCACCCAGCTTTTTAAATGATTGGATGATCTTCATTTTCTTCATCAGTTGTCTTTATATGATTTAGCTTCAGTAGTTCATTTGTTTTATTATTATTATTATTATTATTATTATTTTCTTTGGTTCCAGGGATTAAACTCAGGACATTCAACCACTGAGCCACATTCCCAGCATTTTTTTGTATTTTACTGAGTTGCTTAGGGCCTTGCCATTGCTGATGCTGGCTTTCAATTTATGATCCTCCTGTCTCAGCCTCCTGAGCCACTGGGATTACAGGCGTGCACCATCCGGCCCAGCTGTTTCATTTTTAAATGATGCTTCTTTAAAATATAGTAATCAGGGCTGGGGTTGTGGTTCAGTGGTAGAGTGCTCACCTAGCATGTGTGAGGCCCTGGGTTCGATCCTCAGCACCACATAAAAATAAATAAGTAAAATAAAGGTATTGCGTGCGTCCAACTACAACTAAAAAATAAATTAAAAAATTAAAAAAACAAATAAAATAAAATATAGTAAGTATATACTTACTGGGTTGGGGGTCCTTACGACTGCTCCCAGATTTGATGATTCATTGGAGGACTCACAGCACTTAGTAGACAGTTATGCTCATAGCTATGATTTATACAGTGAAAGGATTCAGAGCCAAATCAGAAGGGGAAATGACACCTAGAGTGAGACCTGGAGAAAACCTGACATTTGCTTCCAAGATTCCTTCAGGTGGAGTGACACAAGATGTGTCTGATTCCCTCAGTGAGAAGTGTGACAACACATGTGAGATGTTATCTATAAGGGCTCATTAGAGATTCTGCTCAGGGTTTCAACAAGGGCTGGTCACATAGCTCCTGTCTTATGTGGCACACATCAGTATTCAATACTCTCAGAGGGAAAACAGGTGTTCAGCAAAACCACATTGTTTTTACAGTGTATGCCCAGTAAGCTACTCTTAGCATACTGAAAATCCTTCCAAAATCTAAGCTTCCAGGTGCCACCCAAGGGTGTTTCAGGCTGTGAGGCCTGTTACATTAACTCTTTTTCACACCTGCCTTATTAAGTCATTGTGTATTATTTAATTTCTATTGCCTAAGGCTGCCATTATTAACATAATTCTGCTAGATTCAGAATTACCTTTTCTCTCTCTCTCTTTTTTTTTCTCTTTTGGTGCCAGGTATTGAAACTACCTGTGCTTTATCGAGTATGTATTGTACCACTAAGTTACCTCCAACTAGGCTCCAGAAATTTGATGTAACTGCCCTCTATCACCACCATCTCCCTTCTATTCTTTTTCCTCTACATTCTTTTTGCTACAAAAAGAGTCTTATCCTAGTAAGCCTTTATACTTGTATATAGGCATTATGTATGACTAATGGGAGTGTATCTCCCAGACCCAATGTTATAGAAAAAAAGGCAGTGAGCCCCTAACTTGATGCTTTTTAATCTTCATAGGGAGCCCTACTCATGTCATTAAAAAACAAAGACCAAACAAACAAAAGACACAAAAGAGAGGAAAAAGGGAAAGTAAATAATGAGGTGCTAAATTTACAAGTCCATCTTAGATTATTTTATAGAAATTTCTCCATTTTAAAAATAAAATGATGAAAGTTGTGTATAGTTGTAAGTATATTTGCTTATCATCATGAATAATCATTTTGTTCTTATTCAAAAGTGTGGACACCTAGTATAATTTACCTTGTATAGGCCATGGGTGCTCATTTCAGAAAAATTTTAATTATACTTTTTTTCTTTTAAAATGAACTTAAATATTACTACTTTTTGGCATTTTCTGTATTCCTTAGACCCGAACCAGTCTGGCTGTGAGTCTGTGGTGTCTGGATGTGTCTATCCTGAGGCTGCACTAAGAGTCATCCAGGCCATGGCTCGTTTCATGGCTGCCTACTTCACCAATCAGCTGCTTTGTATTTTTCCTCCTCACAGTGTGAATGTTCTTCCTCCACTTCATATTAAAACAGGTACTATGGTAAAATGTAATTTTCTCACTTTTCATTTTACATATAATTCTTAAACTACATTATACAAAGATAAATAAATAGTTAAATAAATAAATARATAGATAGATGGATAAATAAAGTCATTATTTTATGGAAATGGCACTATTCCAGCATAGCACCTGGCACATAGGAGGTGCCCAAGTACTACCTGTGAATAAATTATACTTGAGAAAAGTAATTGCTTGGTTTTATTTTTAATGAATATGTACTGTTTTTCACAAAATTTGGGCATTTGTTTCTACTTGTAATGTGAAAGAGCTGCTATCTTTATGTGAAAATGTGGAAATTTAACAATTTTTGCATTTACTAATTTAGAATTTAATTTTATTTGGACTGTTTACCTTTCTCTATTATTTTATATTCATGTATTGATTGATCAATTGCAGTACTAGGGGTGAACCCAGGGTTGCTCTGACACTGAGCTATACCCCCAGCTTTTTAAATTTTTTTATTTTGAGACAAGGTCTCACTAAGTTGCCATGCTGGCCTTGAACTTGTGATCTTCTTGCCTCAGCCTCCCAAATAGCTGGGATTACAAGTGTGCACTCACAACACCCAGCTAAAAATTTTATTTTATTTTTTAAAAATTGTATCATTAACTGGGTATGATGGTGCATGCCTATAATCGCAGCAACTCAGGAGGCTGAGGCAGGAGGATCAAATGTTTAAGGCCAGCCTGAGCAACTTAATGAGACCCTGTCTCAAAAAAATAAAAAGGACTGGGATGTACCTTAATGGTAAATCACCCATGGGTTCAATTCCCAGTATTAAAAGTAGGGGGGGTTGCTTTATTACTTATTTATTTAGTGCTGGGAATTGAGCCCAGGGCCTCAAACATGTTAGTCAAGTGCTTGAACACTACATCCCCTTCCCAACTTTTGTCTATTTAGTTATTTCATCAATAGGGTCTAAATGAACCTAATCCTCTGCTAGATAACTGCCCTGCCCTCTTGGAGATAAATATATAAATGAACTTCTGTGACATTCATTCATTATACTGATTTTAAAAAGTTTATTTTTAAATAATACTATAATTGATCGATATCATAATTTTATACATTTATGGGTTACAGTGTTATATTTTCATATATGTGTATGTATAATTATGCCAAGCTGAGTTAACATCCCTCAACTCATCTGTCATTGGTGAAACATTTGATATTTATTCTCTTAGTTATTTTGAAATATAAATGCATTGTTATTGATGGTACTCATCTTGCTGTGTAATCCATCTCAAAACCTATTCTTACTTATCTGAAACTTTGCACCCATTGATCAGTAATTCTTCATTCTTTCCCCCATCACCACCTTCAACCTCTGGTGACCATAATTTTCTCTACTTCTGTGTATTCAACTTTATTAAATTCCTCATATAAGTGAGATAGTGTAGTATTTGTCTACTAAGTTTTTTATTTTAAATATTTTGTTTTAGTTGTAGTTGGACATAGTACCTTTATTTTATTTTTATGTGGTGCTCAGGATCCAACCTAGTGCCCTGCACTTGCTAGGCAAGTGCTCTACCACTAAGCCACAACCTCAGCTCCTGTCTACTAAGTTTTAAGTGCTGACTGTATCAGGTAGTTGACTAGGAGTTTCAAGTACAGTCATGTCGTGTAAGGTTAGGGATGCATTCTCAGAAATGCATTGTTAGATGGTTTCAACAAGTGACTACCATAAAGTATCTGCACAAACTAGGATGACTCGGACTTTACTAGGTCATGTAATAACCTTATGGGACCATCATACATGTGGCCTATCATTGACCAAATGTCATTATGCAGTTCCTGACAGTATGTTAGCTTGTACTACATGAAATTGATAAATGAAAACATTTGTAGAATTTTTTTTTTGTTAAATAAAACAGATTTGTTCTAACAGCTGTGAACAAAACAGATATTATAACCTGTTCTCTTATGGAATTTACATACAATAGTTTGAGACAAAATATTAAATAAATGAACATCAAATAAGACTTATCAAGTATTGACTATTGTTTTGGAGAGAATTAGAATAGAATAATGCACTGTGACTATTTCAGATTGGGAAGTTAGGGGCTGTGGTAGAGCACATGATTAACATGCAAGAGGCCCTTCAATCCCCAGAATCAAAAAAAACCCAAACTGTATTCAGACTGGAATTTTTTTTTTTTTTTAAGAGAGAGAGAGAGAGAAAATTCTTAATATTTATTTATTTTTTTAGTTTTCGGCGGACACAACATCTTTATCTGTATGTGGTGCTGAAGATCGAACCTGGGCCGCACGCACGCCAGGCGAGCGCGCTACCGCTTGAGCCACATCCCCAGCCCCCTGGAATTTTTTTTTTAATATTTATTTTTTAGTTGTAGTTGGACACAATACCTTTATTTTATTTATTTATTTTTTATGTGGTGCTGAGGATTGAACCCAGGGTCTCGCATTTGTGAGGTGAGCACTCTACCGCTGAGCCACAACCCCAGCTCCCAGACTGGAAATTTAGGGAGGATCTCTCCAAGTAGGTGAAATTAAAGCTGAATTCTTTTTTTTAAAATAGTTTTTTAGTTGTCAATAGACCTTTGTGTTATTATTTATTTATATGTGGTGCTGAGAATTGAACCCAGTGCCCCACACATGCTAGGCAAGCACTCTACCACTGAACACAACCCCAACCCAGAGCTGAATTCTTAGTAACAGTGCCAACCTTGGACACCTGAGGTCTGAGTGTTCCAGTCTGAGCTTGTGTAAAAGCCCTGAGGCAAGAATAGCTGGATGTGTTTGAGACATTGAGACTGATGTGGCTGTAGACTAAAAGCTGAGGTAGAAAGTGACAGGAGATGTAGTCAGAAAAGGGTTCGGATGGTATGGCAAAGAATCTGAATTTTAAGTTATATTGGGCTTGAAACAGGAGATGACATGAGTGGAAAAGTATGTGTAAGGCACACATGGTAATTAGAAGTTTAATGCAATATAGAACTAGTAGCTAATCACCAAACCATGGATTTTGGACCCTGTATTTAGACTCTGATCTGTGATTGTTTTGGGATGTGGACAGGAATGGAGGACCATCCTCACCCAGCTGGATTTCTTCTACTGCAGTGTGCTAGTGCCACCTGGGGTTCTATGGGAAGTTCTGGGTCCCTGGGAAATGAGGTGTGTGAGATAGGATCAACAAGGAAATTTTCCAGTGGTTCCTTTCTAGTAGACTCCTACTTCCCTGAGAAAGAAGAGAAGTAGCCCTCACTTGATATGGCTTCTTTTACGGGGCTGGTAGGAGCAGAGAAAGGGGACACACTCCTGTCCTTTGACCATATCTTCTTGGTTACACCTCCAGTGCCTGCCCCTGACTACAACCTACACTTCTTTTTTTCTCTGACCTTTATGCCTCCCTCCAAGACACCCAGATTATAGAATTTATTTCCTCAAATGCTTGACATTGTTATTATTATAGTGGTTTTATATTCTTTTTTGTCATAACTTAGGAGTATATCACTTTATTGTATTCTCTTCTTTTGATAGTAATGTTTGTGACAATTTATGTCCTTAATCCATATTATTTTACTAACAAAGGTAGTATTCCAAGTGGTTTTCAGAAAAACCTAAAAGAATAAAAGATAAAATCCTGGTCTTGAGAAACTCTATCTCAATTGCTTATCTTTCTTGTATAAATCTGTAAGATTTTTGCTGTTTGCTTATGGTTCTCATTTTTACAGATTGCTTGGTATAACTAAGTACGACTGGTCTTTATCCCAGTTTAGGAAAACAAAGGTGATAGAACCATTGAACTGTTTCCAGATACATTCATAAACACTCAGAAAAGCACAGAGACACACCTTTGTATTCCCCACATAAATGTCTTCCTGGTAAGAAGTGAGAATGGAAGAAGAAGGTTTTTGCAGTCTCTTTCCATGCTTGAGATTATGATTATTGAAAATTTAAATACCTGAAATTTTGTATCTATGCTTTAGTTCCGTTAGTTTCCCAATATATTGGAAAATGGTAAAGTAAGCAGTCTTAGCATCTGTTTGATGTTACTTTTTCTAGTCAGAGCTAATGACAAAATGTACTGGGGACTTCAGTAGCTTATTTTATGTAATACTGTAAAAAGTGGCAAACATTTTTTAATATATGAAAGTAGTATAATTTCAGAATATTAAATAATTCAAATTATTTTAATGGCATACTGCCTTGCTTATAGTGAATAAAAAATAAAAAAAAAATTTGCCTCGACTCTTTTGTGTACACAGAATGAGATACCCTAGAGATTGAATTTTTTTTTTTAATCCAGATGTTTTTCAAAGAGCCTAATGTTAGGGCCTAATGTAGGGTTGGCCAATATAGTCCATATAAGAAACTAATCACTTCATTTTTCATTTCAGGGGTCAGAAACCTATGTATGCCATTGACCAATTTTATTTTGAGTGAAGGAGTGAAAATTTTTTCAACATAGTTTTTTTTTCCTTCTTTTCAGCACTGGGAATTGAATACAGGGCCTTGTGTGTGCTAGGCAAATGTCGTATCTTTGATCTAGATCCTCAATCCCTCTTATTATTTTGAGATAGGATCTCACTAGGTTGCTTAGACCTGGTCCTGAACTTGGATCTTTCTATCTCAACCTCTCAAGTAGCTGGGAATATAGGCATGCACCACAGTGTCTAGCTTCAATGTGTACTTTCTAATTATTTTTTAATTGATGTATTATAATTCTATATAACAGTGGGATACATTGTGACATATTCATATATACACGTAACATACTTTCCTCATTTTATTCCCCATCAGAATATTTATTTATTTATTTGAGGCACTGGGGATTGAACTCAGGGGCACTTAACCATTGAGTCACATCTCCAGGCCTTTTTACTTTTTTGCTTAGGGCCTAAATTGCTGAGGCTGGGTTTGAACTGTGTTTCTCCCACCTCAGCCTCCTGAGCCACTGGGATTACAGGTATGTGCCACACTCAGCCAACACATATATATATATATATATATATTCTTTTGGTACCAGGGATTGAACTCAGGGGCACCCGACCACTGAGCCACATCTCCAGCCCTATTTTGTGTTTTATTTAGAGATAGGGTCTCACTGAGTTGCTTAATGCCTCGCTTTTTCCTGAGGCTGGCTTTGAACTCACACAATACTCCTGCCTCAGCCTCCCTAGCCACTGGGATTACAGGCATGTACCACTGTTCCCAGCTCCAACATGAATTTTTTTTAGTGTGTAATTTTTTAATTGTAGATGGACATAATACCTTTATTTTATTTTTGTGTGGTGCTGATGATCAAATCCAATGCCTCATGCGTGCCAGGTGAACACTCTACCACTGAGTCCCAGCCCCAGCCCCAACATGTATTTTTTAATAACATTGTAGTCATCATATTTCAAGTTGCCTCAAGTTACTTTAGGGAAAGGTACAGAGGTCTTGTGGAAAGGATATTACCGCTTTGTGTTGAATTCCAGGCCAAACTAGAATCTTGTCATTTATTCAGGGGTTATTGAATATTACACATTTTATTCTTTTGTTTGTTTTGAAATGAATTCTCACTATGTTACCAAAATTCCTCTCAAATTCCTGGGCCTAAGTAATTTTCCCACTGTTGTCCCTTGATTAGCTGGGAGTATAGGTACATGCCTATATAAAACTTTCTCTTTCATTTATTTGCTTGTATATATTTTACAGTGCTGGTGACCAAACCCAGGGCCTTGCATATGTTAGTCAAGTACTCTACCACTGAGCTACAATAAGGCCTCTTATTAATGAACACTAATATATTGAACACTTTGTATATTTATTATTTGAAATTTTTTTTATTGCATAACACTATGGGTAATACAAAGTCAGATAAAACACCATTTCATACCTCCAAATTTCATAATCTGATATGAAAAATAGGCTTATATTTCTGAGCAGCCCACAGTAATAAATTGTGCACTGTGACCCGGTACATGTTCATATGTATACCTGTGTACATATTATCTGACACAAATGTCTCATTAAACGGTATTTACTTTTTTTTGAGTTAATGGATTCATTCTGTATGTTTCTTTTCTGTTCTGTTTTGTTTTTTAGGAATTCTATTATTTCTTTCATGGCTCACTATGAATGAAGCATATTCTTCAGTGTTGAAAAAAACTGTTCTAGGATATTTAGTATTATTGTAGCCCATTTTGTATGTATCTTCCTTTCTGTGGTCTTGTTTAGAAGATACTAATTAAAGAGATAAATATAAAATGTAAAGAGGCTTGAATTTGGATGTATGTGTGTAATTGTAATATCCATTTTCTTTAATTTATTCACAGAGCAGTCTCTTCGACTTATTCCTCTGCAACACTCCAAGGTGGCCAGTATTGTTAGAGACCAGAATCTTTCTAATGTGTGGACAGTTGAATATGCCCTGGAATTATTGTTCATTGGTGGCTTGGTTACAGAGGCTATATGGTTATCATATAAACTTGGAGACTGGAAGACATCTGTTGCAATTGGCGTGGCCTTCCAACTCTTCTATAAACATGATAGCAATTTTGTGAGGTATGTATTTTTAGGTAAGCTTAAGTATAACAGTATCGTGTAAAGTAGCTTATATTTCTCTTATTATTGGTGTTTACGTATGTGGAGCTCTTTATTCAGCATTGGCCAAAAGAGCTTTCTAATGATAGAAGTATTCTGTATGTGCTCAATGTGCATGGGGTAGCCACTAGTTACAAGCAACTGTTGAGCATTTGAAATGTGGCTAGTGAGACCAATGAGCTTCATTTTGAGTTTAATTTCACCTATATTTACATAGCCACACGCTATGTAACATAGTGATTACTGTGCTTGATAGCTCAGTGGCTTGCTTATTTATAATAAAACATTTAACATATTTATGTGTTAGTAATGCCCTTAAAGGACATATAGTCAATGGGAAAGTTTATTCCAAATAGGATTTGAGTTTTAAATTAATTAATCTGATCTTTCAGCTTTTCAGAATATTATGGCATTGCTGTGTCTTTTATGTGTTTTTCAATTCACTAATTCAATATATATTTCTTTCTTTTTTAACATTATTTTTAATTAAACTGAAAATACCATGAACACCACATTTTATATGCTTAAATTTTTTTAATATTTACTTTTTAGTTTTAGGTGGACACAGTATCTTTATTTTGTTTTTATGTGGTGCTGAGAATCAAACCCAGAACTTCACGTTTGCTAGGCAAGCACGCTACCACTTGAGCCACATCCCCAGCCCTATATTTATTTCTTAAGAAACTACTCTGTACAAAGCTTAATGTCAGGTATTTTAGTAGATATAAACCTAAATGTACATAGTTTCAATGCTTTAAGGCATTTATACTTTAATAGAGAAAATAGGACAAAGCATTATTATAATTTACATAGTAATTGATGTGGTAAGAAAAGGATAGTGGTACCATGGGGACAGTGATATTGTCAAGAGGGGGAAAGACAGGAAATACTATGTAGGAGATGTCATTTGAAATGGGAATCAAAGGACATATAGGATTTGGATGAATTAAATAAACATTCAAAGAAAACATCCTAAGTATGAGCAATGGCATTTGGCAAAATTAAGTTTTGGTTCAGTTTGGATAAAGTATGTATGAAGAATAACAGTAGGAAATAAGAGTGGGAAAATGTATTAGGATTATAATTTGGGAGGGCCTTAATACACTGTTTTTTGTATGTAGGGTGAATAGAGTGTGTGAATTCTATTGTTTCTTTCTTTTCATCTTTTTGTTGTTGTTGTTGTTTGGAGGATTGAATCTAGGGGCACTTAACCATTGATCCACATTCCTAGCCCTTTTGGTATTTTATTTAGAGTCAGGGTCTCCCTGAATTGCTTAGGGCCTCACTAAATTGTTAAGTAGGATGACTTTGAACTTGCAATCCTCTTGCCTCAGCCTCCTGAGCTGCTGGGATTACAGACGTGTGCCACCATACTTGGCTTTCCATTATTTCTTAAATTTTTGTTTAGTTCTTATTTGTTTTTATGGTGCTGGGGATTGGGCTTAGGGCCTCACACATGCTAGGCAAGTGTCTACCGTTGAGCTTTTCTTTTATCAAAATTTGGATTCATTTCCCTTAATTTGATGTCATTTCAGGTCCAAAAAAAAGTGTCCGAAGCTACCATTAAATATGACTCCAGCTCACATTTTTCAGAAAAAATTGCAGTGTTTTTTAGGTCAACCAACCTCTTTGGAAGGAAAACAGGAAATGGGCTCAAAATATAAACAATTCACAGGTGTGTTACATACATAAGGTCTGACATCAGGTTAATATAAATTTTGTAATATAAGAAGTTTATAAATACCTGGAGATAGATTTATATTGTATGATTCCATTTATATGATTCTACAAAAAATAAAATTATAAGAACAGGAAACAGTGGTTGCCTAGGAGTAGTGGGGGAGGAATTAACTACAAAGCATAATGAAAGAATTTTGTAGAGTGATGGAAGTGTTCTTACAGGCCTGTGCAGATATATCAAAGTTCACTGAGAAGGATGAGTTTTACTGAATGTAAATTATGCCTCAGTCTGATTTAAAAACAAAAACTCAAAGTTATTAAACCAGTTTAAGAGCCAATTAATGAAAAGATAAATCTGAGCTATTTATTTATTTTATGGATACATGATATCCAAAAACTATGCATGTAATATATATACATCTCTACATAAATATAGAGATAAAGACAAATATAAACAAGATCAAGAATTGAAGAATAAGAAAATGAAGTTAAAGTTTGTAGCATGTAGAAAAGTTGTCTGTTAGGAATTTCAGTTGTGTCTCTACCAGATTCTGCATAATGGCTACCTCTGAAAGATGGAATATGATTGATATGCAAGGAATTTCAGCTACATATGTAATATTTAAAAAAATATTTTTCATTGTCAATGAACCTTTATTTTATTTATTTATATGTGGTGCTGAGAATCGAACCAAGTGCCCCACACATGCTAGGCAAATGCTCTACCACTGAGTCATAACCCCAGCCTCAGTATATAATATTTTATTTTTAAAAAATCTAAATTGATGGGGCTGGGGTTGTGGCTCAGAGGTAGAGCGCTCGCCTAGCACATATGGTGCCCAAGGTTTGATCCTCAGCACCACATAAAAATAAATAAACAAAACGAAGGTGTTGTGTCCATCTACAACTAAAATAAATATTTTAAAAAAATCTAAAATGAATATAGTGAAATGTTAATATCAGACATGGATGACAAGTGAGTGTATGAGTGTTATATTCCATAGTTCATAGTGTACTTAAAGTACTTCATAATAGAAAAAACCCTTTCATTTCCAGTTCTGTCCTATGTCTCCTTTCAGTTTGCCTTCTGGGACATATCTGTGTATATACAGATATTTTCATATTTTAAAGCCATAAAATACAACTGACTTTTGCAATTTTCTATTTTCTTCAGAAGCTTTTTTTTATTAATTACATTATTATAAAAGTATTGTCATGGACCACTGAAAGGAAGATTACTCTTTCACTCCCTTCTTGACAGGATTAATCCAACTAAGCATCTTCTGTCATAATGTTGTATATTAAGAAACATTTGTTGATTTGCTGTATTTTAATGTATATTATTTTGGTGTATTTGTTTTTTCCATTGATATTTTTTCAAATATTACTACTACCACTACATTTTTTTTTTTTTTACTAAGGACTATATTCTAACATTAAATGTGTAGTTGTTCCTAGAGTATCTCTTTTTCAGTTTTAGAAAAAGTTTCATGCTCTAATTGCTTATGATCTTAAAATAACAAGAAAGTTCATAAATTTTTGTCTGTAAGTTTGGATGTTTTGCTTATTAACCATTGTATTCTCGAGAATCTACTTTTTCAGATTAAAAAAATTTAGAAAATAGGATGAGAAGTTAAGTGAGAATTTTAACTATTTTACCAAATTTTGTATTTAGTAGATCCCATTGAAGAGGAAGATGCAAATCTGCTATTTGGTTCAGTACAAGAAGTCCTGAAAGCATCAGTTATGGCTGATGCGGATATTCTTTCAGACACTTTACAGCATCTGATAGATTCTGCCAAGGACTTCAGTAAGAGACTGTGGGGCTTAGTGCCTGCCGGCTTGTATCTTCCAGCTCCTCCATTATATTGTCCCCAGCCAGCTATTCTTAGTCAAGTAAGCTTATGCGTTATTCCTTTAATTAATTGAAAATTGATTTTGGTCAGTTTTWAAAATAGTCATCCTGAAGTCAAGCATTGTCATTAACCTATCTTTATTTTTTCTTTAGCATTTTAAATTTTCTTATTATCACTAAAATGGGTTGTCTTATTGTTTCCAGGAAGATGGAGATGATCTTTTTGTAAAAGCTGAAAAAGACAATCGCCAAAAGGTGTCTGGAATACTTCAGAGAGTTCTCTTGCTCTTCAGGGCAACTCGGTGTTCTTTTCCTGTAGCACAGTGGTACATTTTGCAGCTGAGGAGGGCAAGAAAAATCATGCAGAAGGTATGGGAATGTCTTATTCATGTGCTGTGTTAAACAACTGAAATAAACTGATACTTATACTGTAATAACACTTTTCCAAGGAGTCCTGCCCTGTGAATCCATACATTTCAGGCTTATTTATGGTAAACAACATAAAAAGAGCAGATTCTTTCTGCCAAAAGATGAGAACTTTGAACTGGGTCTCCAGGTTAGTTATATCCTGCCTGATAATACAAAATGTCCAGTCAGTTCGGTCCTGGGAATTAAACTTATTTCTTCATTGAAGATAATATAAACTCAATTCAGGACTGAGGTGTGGGAAGAATTCACTTCTCTCTGGGGAGAGATCTCTGTTCCGTTGGGGCTTCAGTGTGTTACTGGAAGGTTGTGTGTTCTCAGCTCTTGTGTCTTAAAAAGAGATTTCAAGCAAGACACAGGTGTGGTCAAAGTTTAGCAAAGTTTATTAGAAGAGAAAGAGGAAGGGCATGGGAAAAGCACCCTCAAGGGAGATTGTTGTTGCTGCTCAACGAGAGGAGTGGGGCATTTTGTCCTTATTGGCATCAGATCAATACTGGTATCAGATCAATGTTGGCATCAGATTCGCCATTTTAGACCAGGAGCCATTTTATCTAGAGGCTCCAAAGTTTCCATTCTGAGAAAGTGCTGCATGTGCCTGTTAAAGGATCAGCCCCACCCCAGTTTATGACGCAACTCCTAAGCAGCTTAGGAAATTCCCCCTGTGGGCTATAAAGCTGCTCTGTGAGTGCCAACCCACAGCCTTGTGGGTTTGCCTTGTGCTACTGACAATAAATCTCTTGCGTGAGATTCTGGTGTGTGGTGTGGTCTTTGGACTTTRCTAGTCTCTGTGAGTGTCCTTTCAGTCCTAGTTTTAGTTAGGGCTAAGGGACAGTTTCCAGAGGTCTTTCCCAAGCACTACCTCCTAGCTCTTGATTGACAGTTGGATTGTATTAGATTTCTAAATCCCTGTTTCGTATATTTTAGTCAAGAGTGTCTAAGTGAAATCCATAGGGTGAAAATTTATAATTACAATCAGATTAAATGATATGTTGAGGACCTAAAGGCAACTTTTGATCATCTCAGCTTTCACCTGTTTATTTTGTCTGGAACTTGATTTCACAGACCTTGAGGCCATTTAGCTTTCCACCCTCCAAGTAGAGCAGGCCATCTTCCTCTTATCAAAGGAGGAGTCTTGAGCAAACTCCTTGGCCCTGTGATATGTTGTTACAAGGCCATTTTCTTACATCAGAGCAGGGCCAGGATGACTTTATTAAGTTGTTTCTTTAGAAACATATTGAGAGTTAGCACATAGGCTCCGTGTGTAGATTTAACACACTTAATCCCCATGTTTCCGCCTCTCATGTCTACCTGTTCCGTAAGTGGGTTCAAAGCATCCAAAGTTAGAGTGATTACTTGGCTATTTGCTATCCTTCCTTCCCAGGTTTATGTCTCTTATGTTCCTTTTCTTTTATCTATAACAGCCACCCTCTTTTAAAAAAAAAAAATTGATTTAGATAAACAGGGCAATTTTCGTGTACTATATTCTAGATTTGTCTAATGGTTTTTTCATTTAGCATCATTTAACTTGTTCTTGTTTCCTTTTATTTCCTGTACATGGGTGAGCGACCTATACTCATGGAGGTAGGGAGGTTTGGTGCTATTCAGGAATGAACTTTCATAATGCTTCCCCATTGTACCATGTCATGGGGCACATGTGGCACTTTTGATGGTAGTGAGATTGATCAGTGGGTTTGGGTTTATGTTGTTATCTTCCATCAAGTTCCCTACCAGCCCACCAACTTTTAATCTCAATGGCATTTATTGATGATTCTTGCCTAGAGTCATTTTTTTAAGCGTTGTCAAGTGAGGACTTTCTACCTCTGTCATTGTAGATTAGGTTTTTAAAAGTTATATATGAAGTTAAATTTTTTTATATTTGTTTTTTGGTTTTGGAGTCTACACAGTTTATCTTAAATGAGATTAGATGCCTGTATTTCTTTTCTTTCTCTAAACTGTGGGGTAAGCCAGGGATGAATAACCTTAGGTTGTTTTTTATAAGCAAAACTGAGTGACAAGGGAGTATAAATGATTTAGTTAGAACTTTTTTTCTCTTTTGAGATGTAATCTAATGAAATTCTTGAATTAGATTTGTAATCTAAGCTTCTGAAAGAATAGCTGATTTCAGGACTATTGTCCTTCCATAGTAGAGAATCATGCTGTTTTCCATTTTATATGGTTGATCTTCACTGCCTTGTTCTTCTGTAGTTTCCTCTCAACATTATTATTATTTTTTTTTTTTAGAGAGAGAGAGAGAGAGAATTTTTAATATTTATTTTTAGTTCTCGGCGGACACAACATCTTTGTTGGTATGTGGTGCTGAGGATCGAACCCGGGCCGCACGCATGCCAGGCATGGCGCGCTACCACTTGAGCCACATCCCCAGCCCCTCAACATTATTTATACCAAGATTAATGTATTGCCATTTTTTTACTTTCAGATTCGAATGAAAGGTTCTCTTCCATCATTGAATCCTTTCCCCCAGTCCTTACTTAACTACTGTAAAGGAGGAGTAGCATTCTTCAGACCTGGAGCAACTGGAGACCACAAGCTTGATGAAGTTTCCATTAGAGCAATTGGTTTGTTGACAATGAACTACTTGCTTAGAAATTATCCTATACKTGAATAATGGTGTATAATTTATTTGATTTGGCAAAATTTTTAAATGATTTGACTCTTCAAAGTATGGAGTGGTGTATAATATTTTACTTAGTGTTTACAAGTGAATGCTATAATTTTAACAGCCATGTATGTACATGCATTATAGTGTGGTATCAAATTAGGTTTTTTTTTTTTTTTTTTTTGGTCCTGGGAATTGAATCCAGGGCCTTGTGCATGTGAAGCAAGCACTCTACCAACTGCGCTATACACCCAGCCCCAGGAATTTATTATATAATACAAAATTATGACATTATTTTTATTGTTTCATTATTTAAATTTGAAATTTAGATGCTTTTCTTGCCTGGTGGTGTTCACCTATAATTCCAGCTACTTGGGAGGCTGAGGCAGGAGGATCGATCACAAGTTTGAGGCCAGCTTAGCAACTTCAAGGGACTGTGTCTCAAAATAAAACAAAATGAAAAAAGGGGTAGAGTATTCCTAGATTCAATTTAAAAAAAAAAGCTTTTCCTGTGATCATTTTCTTTTCTTTTTTTTTTTTWAAATATTTATTTTTTAGGTGTAGATGGACACAACACAATGCCTTTATTTTTATGTGGTGCTGAAGATCGAACCCGGGTCCCACCCGTGCTAGGAGAGCGCTCTACCGCTGAGCCACAATCCGAGCCCCACCTGTGGTCATTTTCTTGAAGTTAGGGTATGCTGCCAAACATGAAGTGGACAGGCTTTGACCTTATCAGAATAGATTTATCATTTGTTTTCTGTTTTTCTAACTTAACATATGCTACCTAAACATTTTTTCCATTTAAAAAACTTTCATATCTATTAAGTTGAAAATTTCTATTAGCAAAAATTAAAAAGTTAATTCAGTTTTTGCACTTTTAAGTTGCCTCTGACACATTAGGTTCCTTTATTGTATTTTAAAATAATTTTCTTAGGTAGATTCTTAGCAGTAGAATTGTTTAGTTAATGAATATACCTATTTTACATTTCTTAAAATAGTATGCCAAATGTTATAATTCCTTTAGATTAATTTGATGGGTTCAAATGATAGTTTTATGTTAATATGTTTTCCTTGTGACTATATTGAGTATTAGTTTTCTTTTATATTTCCTTTTATAAATTCATTTCCTATTCATAGTCTTATGTCCAGTTATCTGCATAATAAGCCTAAAAAGAAGTAACACTTTGGATGCCATTCCACATTTTTCTCTTTAATTATTAATTTTTACCATTCTATTAATATTAAGCCTTGATCTCTCTAGACTTTGATTAAAATGGTCCTTTATAACTCACTTAACCTTTGTACTAATCTTAAATAATTAATGTCCTGGGGCTCAGATTGTCTGTTTTCAAACTATAATGGCATCAAAATGCTTTTCAATTGCTTTTCTCAGCTGTTATGAGCTTAGTTTATAGACTTTTCATTCACTCTAACAAAAGAAAGGGCCAGGCAGTTGTCCTTTGGAAATGTGTGTACAATCCAATCGTATTTTTAAAAAATTTTTACTTTGTAAATAATGAGTTAAGTTCACAAAAATCCCAGTTAGAAGATTGTTGATCATAAATAAAACATGAAGCTGAGTGTAGTGGTGCTTATAGACTCAGCTACTTGGGAGGTTGAGGTCAGTGGATCACTTGAGCCTATGAGTTCAAGACCAGTCTCAGCAACATATCTAGACCCCCATCTCAAAAACAAAACCAAACAAAACAAACAAAAAAGTTTACAAATGATTGAAATAAAGATTTGAACATACATTTTTATTTTTTAAGAAATAATTTATTGAAGTGAAATTAATATAACACAAATTTAACCATTTTAAAGTAAATAATTCAGTAGCATTTAGTACATTCCCAGTGTTGTGTGGTCACTACCTATTCCGAGCATCTCTTGACCATGTAGTAGTTTCTTCTCACTTCCTCCTCCCTCTATCCCTTTGAGTGCTGGCTTCTTTCACTTAGCACAGTGTTTTAAAGGCTTAGCCACATTGTAGCATGTGCTAATATTTATGCCTTCTTGTGGGTGAGTAAGACTCCTTGTATGGCCACACTACAATTTATTTATCACTTCATGTATATTTGAGCTCTTTTTACCTTTTGACTCTTGAATAGTGCTGCTATCAATGCGTATGTACTTGTACTGGTTTGAAAATCTTTCCATTTCTTTATACATTTTAAGGGAGGGGCAGGGGAGTGAATGTGGGGAGGTGGGCAGAGGCAGAGAATAATAAAATCACAAAGTAAGAGAGCCCTATGCTGGCTGATATGCTTGCTAAAATAGGTCCAGCTAATTCAACTTTGGGCTTCTGACATTCTTCCCAACCACTTCTATCAGTAATAAAAGCAAGAAAGTGTGCTAAAATGACATGAGACTATGCAATAGGATAAGTTCTTTGGAGCTGATAAGTTACCAGAGACATATTTTACTCTTGGGTGTGTTAGGATGTGGAACGTGTGTTTTTAATTTTTTTTTTAATTGTAGATGGACACAATACCTTTATTTTCTTTATTTTTATGTGATGCTGAGGATGCTGTGATGCCTCACACATATTAGACAAGCACTCTATCACTAAGCTACAATCCTAGCCACTTGAACATACATTTTAATAGTTTAATTTTGTCCTTGAGGGTCACTATTTAATTTGCTTAGTTTGGTCTTTCGGTTTTTGAGAAGTGATTTGGCTAGATTAAAAAGTTTGCATTCCTAGTTATCTAAAATAACAAAGTTCAAATTGTTTTAAAGCTTCTTATAGAGAATTTAAAAAACAAAAAAGATAATTAACTTTCAAGTACTTATTAGCCACCTCGACCAGATGTTAACACATGAAAGCAAATCTAAGATATCATGAGATTTTACTCATAAGTACTTCAGTATGTGTGGTCAACACAACAGGAAGTTTTTGAAAGCACAATTCCATTATTATACCTAACAAAATTAATTAAAATACTTTCACATTATATATTATCTATCCTGTGTTTTATATATACTTGAGTATCTCAGTATGACCTCTTCAGTTATTTTTTTTTCAAATCTAGAACCAAACAGGGTCCTCTACACATTGCATTTTCATTGATATGTCAATTTCTCTTAATGTATAATAGTTTCTCTCTCCCCATTATTTTTTTCAGGCCGTTTATTTATTAAGGAAACCAGGTCATTTATCTAGTAGAATTCCTCTAATTTAGTTTTAGTTGATGATACCTTTTTGGTATTCAAACTTTCATGACCACAACTTCTAATAAGATACAGATATTATATTAGTACTGTACATATATTAGTACTGTATGTACCTCAGTACAGTACTATATGGAAATGAAAATTTAAGGAGCCACTATTGCTATTTTCTGTTGTATTCTAGTTTTTTTAAATGGTTGAGACTCACTGAATTGATTTTATAGCCTGATAACAATCTATAATTGGAAGAACATGGAAAAGGGATGTTTTTAGATGAGTAGTTGCTGAGTTTGTTCTGCATGTAACTTTATGATTCTTGACCCTAGTTCGGTCCCAGCATGCCTGTGAAATAAGAAATAGTGAAGCATTTATAAGTTGGTGCCTTTCAACAGATTGGGCCATGCTCCCTTGGTAGAACTCATCAGAATCGGGGGTATGGACTTGGATCATAGTGCAAAACTGCCCCCAGATGATCCTGACAGTCTTAGGGGTGTTTACCCACCACTCTTCTCTTTGGGGTGGATAGATTTGTAGAAGACCTGTTTTCTCCTCAGTTTTCATAACATCTAACTATACTTTTTGGCTTTGCAAGTTATTTTTAAAATAAATTAAGTAGCTTTCTAACAAAAATGAGAATACTAATCACTAAAATAAAAGTCAGTTTACTGTAAAAATAGGCTCATTTAAAAAGATTAAGGCTTTTGGGGTTGTGACTCAGCGGTAGAGCACTCGCTGGGGACGTGCAAGGCCCTGGGTTCAATCCTCAGTACCACATAAAAATAAATAAAAGTATTGTGTCCAATTTTATAACTAAAAAATAAATATTAAAAAATAAATAAAATATTAAGGCTTTTAATGACTATTAAATTTGGGGGGATTACTTTTCTCCCTCCACAGGAAAAGGCTCTGTTAGCTATAGTAGTAGAAAAGATGAGACTTACTTATGGACATAGTTAATTAAAATAAGGGAAAGTAAATTTAGTGTTAGCAGAATAGTTGAAATTCTTTTTTCTTGTACTGTGAGCCCTTGCATTATGTGTAGTTAAGTTATGATACTCTATACTATATTGGTGATATTAACCCCATGAAGTTACAAAATGAGTAAACTGATAATAAATAGAGTAAGTTATATACTTTATGATTATGTTTCCAAAATTTTCATCAACTGATATGCATGAAATATACAATAATGTKCATCAAAATTCTGGAAGAACCTATGACTTTCATATGAGGTATTTATGATAAACGTGTTTCTTTTATAATTAACAAAATAAAGACATTTATTTTGAAAAAATAACTATCAGAGGTAAAGTTGTTCTATTAATGTACATACTCATACATTCTTTTCATGTTTTTATTCCTACTTTAGGTTGCTTCAGAGAACTTTGTGCTTTGTGCTGGGTGCTACATATCCGTGATAAATTATCCTATAGTTGTAGGCAATATCAGAAAGCAAGAGAAAATGTGATGGGAGAAAAGGTATTTGCCAGCAGAAGAATAAGAAAAATGAACAAACATTACTTGGGAAATTATTCTTTAATGGAAGATTTTATTCTTTGAAATAAACTTTTTTTTTTTTTTAATTCACTCTGGTCTATTCATCTAAACTGAAGAGACAATTATCTTTTCAATATCTCTTTAGGACTTTGAAGAGGAGTTTGATTCCTGTATGGTGGAGCATTGTCTCAGTGCACTGGAATGGGCTTATAGAATGCTACCTTTCTCTCGGTTTTTTAATATTGAAGAACTTATTCAGGATATAATTTTGAGCCTTATTGGAGAATTGCCACCAATCAGAAAGGTGATGTGATTGTAGATGAAAATAAACTTAAATCTGAATTAGAGACTTTGAAGAATTTTAATTTTGTTTAATAAAATTAATGTTCCCTATGTCTGGCCTATTTTACTTAGCATAATATCCTCCAGACTCAGAGACAAATATTATATGGTCTCCCTGTATAAAACCTAAAAAATTCGAATTAATGGAAGCAGACAGTAGTAGAACAGGTTGTCAGGGCTGGGGTTGTGGTGGAAATGGGCAAATGTTGGTTATAGGGTCCAAACTTTCATTTATAAGAGGAATAAGTTTTGGATACCCAATGTGCAGCCATAGTGACTGTAGTTAATGATTCTGTATTATTTACCTGAAATTGGATAAGAGAGATTTTAAGTGTCTTTACCACCATCTCCTACACAATGATAACTATGTCTGGTTAATTAATTTGTTTGGGGTAATCAGTATAGAGTGTATATGTATATCAAATCATCATGATTATAATCCCAGTTATTTGGGATCTTAGAGTAGTTTTGATTTGCATTTCTGTCTCAAAAGAAAAGGACTGGGGATGTAGTTTAGAGATAGACTGCTTGCCTAGCATGCACAAGGCCGTGGGTCCAATCTCTAGTACTGCAAAATAAATAAATAAACAAACAAACAAATAAATAAATAAAATTAGACACTATCACATTGTGCACATTGAATGTACACAATTTTTGTTTATTAAATATTTTAAAATTTAAAAAATAAAAAAGACAAAGCTGATGCTTAACTTTCATTAGCAAGCTCATGCTTTAGAGAGGATTTGACCTGACATCAAAAAGTTAGTAATAAATATGCATTTATGTTTGAGTTGAAATGTTTGAGGAATGAAAAGGAAAAAATAAGAATGATGTTGCTCAAAGAAATTTCAAAAATTTTTTTCTTAAGGTGGCAGAAATATTTGTGAACGCATTTCCAAATCCCGAGGAAATAAGAGTTCCTTTAAGAGAAAAGTATCATTGTCTTCGACAGAGACTCAGACACTGTGTTGTAAAAGGTATTTGTTATTTCTCAGATATCTAATAGATAAATGGCTAGAGATGCTCCCTCTTGTTTGAAAGCATTTATTTTCTGTTGTTTGTGTGGGTCTGTGCATTTTTGTCTTTCCTTTCTGAGAAGATAGCCACACTTCCTCATGGCAGAACTAATTGTGCTTTGGAGCCAGACTGAGCTACTTTAGATCATGGCTCTGTCAGTCATTAACTGTGTGACCTTTGATCAGCATATAGTGCTTTGTAAACTAGTGTTTATATACTGTGTAAATAGTATACACACACACACACTCTCTCTCTCTCTCTCTCTACTGAAAAGTAATATTCTTTCATTCCATTTGTGGTTATTTTATATTATATATTCAAGATGACCTTGTGGATTTTTTTTTAATTATAGCAAAATATATATTATTGTTTTAACTTTTCTTTTTTTTTTTTTTTTTGGCAGTGTTGAGATAGATCCCAGGACCTCATACATGCTAAGTGTGTGCTCTAAACTGAGCTACACTAGTGGCCATATGATTATTGTTGTTATTATTTTTTTGAGGTGATTTGAATTAAACCCAGCAACTTGTCCTTGCTAAGCAAATGCTCTACCACTGAGCTCCTTTTCCAATCCTTTATTTCATGACAGGGTCTTGCTAAGTTGCTGAGGCTGGCCTTGAACTTGTGATGCTCCTGCCTCAGCCTCCCAAATAGCTGTGATTACCACACTGAGCCCAGCTGGAAGTTTTTATTTTTATTATTTTTTAAAATTTATATATGACAGGGAAATGCATTAAAATTCTTATTACACATATAGACCACAGTTTTTCATATCTCTGGTTGTATACAAAGTATATTCACACCAATTTGTGTTTTTATACATATACTTTGGATAATGATGACCATCACATTCTATCATCATTTCTAACCTTCCTCCTTCCCCTCCCGCCCCTCCCAAACTCTATCTGGAGTTTGTCTATTCCTCCCATGTTTCCCCCCCTACCCTACTATGAATCAGCCTCCTTGGATCAGAGAAAACATTCAGCATTTGCATTTTTGGGATTGGCCTACTTCCGTTAGCATTATCTCTTCCACCTCCACCATTTGCCTGCGCCATGATTTTATTTTTTTTTATTGCCGAGTAATATTCCATTGTGTATAAATGCCACATTTTTTTTTTATTGATTCATCTATAGAAAGGCGTCTAGGTTGGTTCTACAATTTAGCTATTGTGAATTGTGCTTCTGTAAACCTTGATGTGACTGTGTCCCTGTAGTATGCTGTTTTTAAGTCCTTTGGGTATAGACCAAGGAGAGGGAGAGCTGAGTCAAATGGTGGTTACATTCCCAATTTTCCAAGGAATCTTCATACTGCTTTATAGCAATGGATGAGTGTACCTTTTTCCCCATATCCTTGCCAACACTTATTGTTGTTTGTCTTCATAATAGCTGCCATTCTGACTGGAGTGAGATGAAATCTTAGAGTAGTTTTGATTTGCATTTCTCTAATTGCTAGTGATGATGAACATTTTTCCATGTATTTGTTGATTGATTGTATATCCTCTTCTGTGAAGTGTATGTTCAGGTCCTTGGTCCATTTGTTGATTGGGTTATTTGTTTTCTCAGTGCTTAGCTTTTTGAGTTCTTTATATACCCTAGAGATTAGTGCCCTATCTGATGTGGGAGGGGTAAAAATTTCTCCCAAGATGTAGATTTTTTATTCACCTCACAGATTGTTTCTTTTGCTGAGAGAAAACTTTTTAGTTTGAATCCATCCCATTTATTGATTCTTTATTTTAATTCTTATGCCAAAGGAGTCTTATTAAGGAAATTGGGGCCTAATCCCACATGACAAAGATTAGGACCTACTTTTTCTTCTATTAGATGCAAAGTTTCTGGTTTTATTCCTAGGTCCTTGATCCATTTTGAGTTGAGTTTCATGCTTGGTGAGAGAGAGGAATTTAATTTCATTTTTATTGCATATGGATTTCCAGTTTTCCCAGCACCATGTATTAAAGAAGCTATCTTTTCTCTAATGCATGTTTTTGTTGCCTTTGTCTAATATAAGATAATTGTAATTTTCTGGGTTAGTCTGTGTGTCCTCTATTCTGTACCATTGGTCTACCGGTCTGTTTTGGTGTCTATACCATGCTGTTTTTGTTACTATTGCTCTGTAGTATAGTTTACGGTCTGGTATGGTGATGTCACTGCTTCATTCTTCCTGCTAAGGATTACTTTAGCTATTTTGGATCTCTTATTTTTCCAGATGAATTTCATGACTACTGGGATTTTGATTAGAATTGCATTAAATCTGTACACTCTGGCTGGAAATTTTTAAAGAATTCATATTACTGTCATTTTTTTTTTAATATTTATTTTTTCTTTGTAACTTAACACAATACCTTCATTTTATTTGTTTATTTTTTTGTGGTGCTAAGGATTGAACCCAGGGCCTCACACGTGCTAGGCGAGCACTTTATCACTGAGCCACAACTCCAGCCCCAACTGTCATTTTTTAGAACTACAATCATCAAGTCTAGTTATGTTCTGTGATCATACATTATTGTCCCATGATCATACATAATGTCCCATGATCATACATTATTACATTAACAAACTTGCTTTTGTGATTTGTATTTTAATATATATTTTGCTATCTTCTAAAATGTCCTGTTTATATATTAATAAAAATGCTTAAATTTTTTTCTAAAAAAATTTCTACAGGTAGCCTTGAAAAACTTTCCTTTCAATTATTTTTCACTACTTGCAGTAYGAAAGGTGTCATTATTTTGGATAAAATTATACTCATTTTCTCTTATTCTCCACTCTATGGAAATAGAAAATAATATTAGTTATTTTTTAATAATTATTGATTTGATTTTTGAAATAGACTTTCCAGTGAATACTGAAGAAAACATAATCTGTAAGAATATGGCAATAAGCCTTAGCTGTTATTTAGGTTCCATGTCCCAAAGAGGGACCAGAATTGGGTTTCCATATATCGTGTTGAAATAATTTAATGAACCACAAGCCCCTTTCTTCTTTTCCTTCTAGGTCCCCAGACTGAGGAAATGATGTCTGTTGTCATGCATTCTATCCATAAAGTGAGGGTAAAAGCTCTAAAACGTGTGCGGAGAAATATAGGTTCTTTTGAGATGAATGTATGGGAACCAATTGAAGAAGAAAAACCAGATGAGACTGTGGGTTTGGATAGGTTTTCTCTGGGGACTAGCCTGAGCAGAAGCACTCTCACAGAACTGGGAAATTCTATGATCCATAGTGAAGGAGATACAGCCGATACATTCTCTGAAGCTTTGTCGGCTGAAGAAAAAACTAGGATACCTTTCTGTCAAAGGTACAACTAAGATTTCTTAGTAACCATTCACTTCCTTTGGAAAATAATTAAAAAAAATAATTCAAAGCACTTCTGGTGCCATTTTGCATAAGGGATACCCAACCCTTAACACTGTGATTGGGTTAACCATATTATTTTTAAGGGTTTCCATGGTAGTACTTGAATATTCATTTTTTTCCTTCCACGTTTTTTTGTTGGTATATTGTACTTGTACATAATGATGGGTTTTGTGGGTATGTATTCATGCATGCACACAATTTAACAGTATAAAATTTGGCCAGTATCACTCCCCAACACTTACCCCAATCCTCCCCTCTACCCTCCTCTCCTACCATACCCTGATCCCTTTCCTCTATGGATCTGCTTTGATTTTGCATATTTATTTTTGAAATTTATTCATCAATTGTTGGGAAATTCTTGCTTTTATTATCTAAACCCATGTCACTGTGATTTAAGCCAATTTTTCTTTTTTGTTTCTAGTAACTGCAGTATAGTTTTTTTTTCCTCGTGACTTAAAGACTATATAATCAACAATAATTTTGCTTAAGTGAAATTATTACATCTACTYCAAATGTGTGCTTAAACTGTATCTAATGGCATTTTAAAATGGTGTGCTTATTTCACAAAACAGTTATCATTAAATGTTAGCACAGGCATCCCCATAAAAGCTGCTTACTGTGTATTCTCAGAAAAAGTGTGTTAGTTTCAACCTCATCAAGAGATCTTAAGTATCTGTTCTGCCCTAAGGACAGTGTTGAAAAAGAAATTTTACAGTAATTATTGTTGGCAGCTAAGGTGCTTGCCTAATGGGTTTCTTGGCAGCTGGAAGTGTTTAGAAAAAGTTCCCAACTCTTCTGTGGTAAAATAAAAAAGAGCAGTCTCACTTTTGCACTTGGTATGTGTAAGGGGGCTGAAAGGAGCAGCCACAAGAAAGAACTTGTGGTTTTTATTGATTTTGTATTCTTAAATTCTGGATAAAATTTAGAGGACCATATTTTACACCCAGAAAAAGTATTCTTGTTTTTTATAGTTAAATTTCTGTCAATATATTTTAATATCTGTTAACACAAGTTTTCCCTCTGATATTAGTGTGTTGTATTTGTTGAGCCTATAGAATGTTCCACTTTTTAGAGATCATTTTAGTCTCCTTCCACATTTGAAACAGTAATTGAGGCACAAAAATGTTGCATGATTTAATCAGTACAGATATTTTGTATGTCAATTCTGAGATCAGTTTTAGTAATTCAGTGATCATTAATTATGTCTTTTTCAATTTTTTTCTGTAGAAACTCCTCAGATAACATGGAATTAACACTGATTCATAAGCCCAGTGATAGAAAGAAAATATGTAATCAGAGTAAAAACCCTAAACGGAAAGAAGATCATGAAAAGCTGTCACAAAGTACACTTCCTGTAATAGGTATTTGGGAATTTGAGCGTGATGATGATGAATATATTAAATTCCTTGATCTTTTCTTGAGTTACGTTCTTGAAAGAGACCTGCTCAGTTCCAGAGATCCTGGCATTCCACTTTTAACCAGCTTTTCTGTACAACTTAGAGAACATGAGCTTAATTCTTTACTTTTTGATGTACATACAACATTAAAACGACGTCAGGGCAAAACTAAAAGCCAGAATGTGTTTAGAGCTGGCTCTTGCTTTGTTGTTGCTCCTGAGTCACCTGAATCTGGAAAAGTGTCCTCTGTAAGTGATGGATATGCCATAACTTTAGAAAACCACGCACTTTCGACTTCAGAACTTGTTAGTCATGGGATGAGACCTTTTTTAGAGAACCCTTTGCATGAAATCAGTAAAGATGAAGGAAAGAGTGGATTGTTTGGTTTAAAAAAAAAGTCAATTTACAGAATTCAAGATGGTAATCGAGAGAAACCTCTGAACCAGAGACCATCAAACCATAGTTTTTGGTCTTCCAAGACCACTATAACTAGAAGACACAGTTTCAAAGCAGTTCAGTGCAATGATATTAACCCTCAGGAAGATCTCCCTTTGACAGTAAAGAATGCATTTGGCAGTATAGGAAGACTGTTGGAGTGGATGATAAGGTGGTCTGATCGAAGATTGCTCTGTGATTCTGGTATCACTCGGTCACCCTGTGAGTACAGTCCAGTAATTCGTGTGAAGACTTCTGCAGCTGCCATTCTTACCTCATTATGGCTTTTGGAGCAACCCTATTATTTTTCTACATCTAAGGCAAAAAATGCCATTATTAAGGTAAGGAAGTCAAATGTTTATTAGAAATAAGAACTGTAATTTTTATTAAAACTGTATATTTTCCCCTTTATTAAAGAATCAGTAATTAAAGGGAAATTAATAGTAATGTTGATTATATTCTTTATTTTTTTAAGACATTGATGGACCTTTATTTTATTTGTTTATTTACATGTGGTGCTTGCGAATCGAAACCAGTGCCTCACACATGCTAGGCAAGTGCTTTGCCATTGAGACACAATCCTAGCTCCTGATTATATTCTTTATCACTCAATTTTTTTTCTTCCAGTAATTTTTTAAAAAATATTTATTTTTTAGGGCTGGGAATGTGGCTCAGGCGGTAGCACGCTCGCCTGGCGCCTGGCATGGGTGCGGCCAGGGTTCGATCCTCAGCACCACATACCAACAAAGATGTTGTGTCCGCCGAGAACTAAAAAATAAAAAAAATATTAAAAAAAATATATATTTATTTTTTAGTTATAGGTGGACACAACATCTTCATTTTTTTTATTGTTATGTGGTGCTGAGGATTGAACCCAGTGCCCCATGCATGGTAGGTGAGCACTCTAACTCTGAGCCACAACCCCAGCCCCAACTACCAGTAATTCTTTTAATTCTTAAACATAATTAGTGTTTGGGGGTGTAACTCACACTTGCCTAGTATGTGTGAGGCCCTGGGTTCCATCCTCAGCACTACAATAATGATAATGGTGGTGGTGAGGGTGCAAGTGCTTTCATAGAGGCTGTAGGTTTGAAGTGTATGTGTTTGTGAAAAATAAAAAAAAGATGAATAACTTTAAGTGATATTACAAATGCCATAACATTTATATTATTTTTTTTTTAAGTGTCAGACTTTGGTTCAGATGAAGGATTAGGTATTGACCCATTTATTATTATTGATGCTTCATTAAATGCAACAGGGAATCTTTTTATTTGTAGTCTCAGGCCAGAAGAGTATGAAGAACCTCACCTGGAAAGGTAGGTGTTTTGTCAGTAGAGAAGTGCTGTTCTTTGTTTTCTCTGGTCAGTAGCAAGTGCCTTCATTCTAAAATAGTTTATTCTGGYTCAAGGGTAAGGAAGTCAACTGTATAAGAGTTTCTGTAGAAACTCCCCAGATCCATGCTATCACCCAGAATTTGTATTATTTTTTGTTTATATGGGTGTTTTCTTTCCTTCTTTTTTTATTTTTGTTTTTGAGATCAGTTGTTCTCCTAAGGTACACAATTTAATTATTTGGTGCTATGATTATGTGTTATCTTTGAAACTTGCGTTTTCTAGTTAATATACACATAAATTCCTAGGTGCATGTATTTTCGTGCAATGTGCCTTTTTTTTTGGTTCCTGGGATTGAACCCAGGGGTGCTTAAACACTGAGCCACATCCCCAGCCCTACTTTATATTTTATTTAGAAACAGAGTCTTGCTTAGTTTTTAAGGCTGAGGCTGGCTTTGAACTCAAAATCTTTCTGCCTCAGCCTCCCAAGCTGCTGGGATTTCGGGCATGTACCGCCACTCCTGGCCCCTGGGTCATAACTACTGAATGTCTTTATTTTTTTTAAATAGTCTGCCATTCATTCATTCATTCTGCTACTGGGAAATTGAATCCAGGGGTGCTTTACCACTTAGCTCCATCCCCAGTCCTTTTTGTATTTTGTTTTGGGACAGGGTATAAATTGCTGAGACTGGATTACAGGATTACAGGTGTTTACCACAACACCTAGCTAAATGTTTTTATAATTGCAAAGAAAGTGAAACTAGAGTATTCAATTTTCATTGCCATCGTTTGGTGACCTGAAAATAATTAGGATACACTTTAAGAATTTCGAAGTTTATTTCTTTGGTATACTATGTAGGAAGTCATGTGTGTTTTTTCCAGGTGGAATAAAGACTTGGTCATTGCTTCAGTAACAAATATTGAGTTGTAAAACTGCAATAAATACTTRATAAATGAATAAGAGAATTGATCAGGAGAAGTTTATAGAAAGTATGAATAATTTAAATATAAAAATTAAGGGATCACTAATGAAAATAAAATGCTATAAATGGTTTGTTTCAGGAGCTAGAGAATCATACTAAGTCTCAGATTGGATGCAGTATGGAGAGGAGGAGGAGCAAAACTGATGCTGGCTGTTTAGTTGTAGTAGCAACTCAAGGTGGAACTGAGGAAAGAGATGATCAGAATGAATTTTGTCAAAGTATCTTGAAGTAAGTTGCTCCTTGTGCTCTTCTTTTCAATAGAGGTTGACTGGTTTGTTAGTTTGGGGCTTAAAAGGAGGAATTGAACCCTTGAAAGTTAAAGAAATGAGCATTTTCTTTGAACTAGAAGAATACAAATGAGCTTTCTGATATACTTCAACAATTAATTGCAAATTATGTTTTGTCCCTGTTGGTCTGGCTTTTTTAGAGAGGAGCTAATTCATCTTGACAGATCCAGTTATTAGTTTATTGACCATTTAGAGGGAGTTGAATTAATCCAATCATCAGTTTTTTTTATATGAAATAATAATAATATATCTGAATACTGTGTTAGCTTCCTGTAACAAAGTACCTGGGAAAAGGTTTGCAGGGTGCAATGTCACATACCTATAATTTAGTGGCTTGGGAGGCTAAGACAGGAGGATTGAGAGTTCAAAGCCAGCCTCAGCAATTACGAGGTTCTAAGCAACTCAGTGAAACCCTGTCTCTAAATAAATTATGAAAACAGGGCTAGGGATGTGGCTCAGTGGTTGAGTGCACCTGAGTTCAATCACTAGTACCAAAAAAAAAAAAAAAAAAAAAARAGAGMGAGAGAGAGAGAGAGAGAGAGAGAAAGAGAGAAAAAAGGTTTGCCATGTGAACCTTTATTATAGCAAATATCAAGGCAAAAGCTCTTACAGCATGAAGATTCCTTTGTGAAAAAAGGCAATTTTAGATAAGTTGAAATTATTCCAGTCTTTTGAGTAAATGAAAACTAGAATATTCAGCTATTTGTTGATCAATTTTTTGCTGAGCTATGTACCAGAAATGTAAAAATTAGAAAAAAAGACTCGATAAAGATGAAAATGAAGTTTATAGTTGTTTAAAAAAGCATGGAGTCAAGTGGAAGCATGCTCTTTGTCCCTAAGAATGAATTGTAACTTTAGTTGCTGCATTTTTTTCAGTGGAAAGCTGACTGAAGCAGAAAATCCTAAAGTAAAAGAAGTCAATGATGAGATTATTTCCATCAGTCATAATTCTGAAAAAGAATTTATAGATTCCAGTGAGAATCTTTTAGAAGTAGAAACATTTACACAGGATGAAATGGATATGCATATGTCAAACTGTGAAGGTCAGTTATATAGATTATCATTTTCTTTCACTTTATTAATTTGAAATTAATAAGTGATACCTGAAATTATAGTTTTATATCTAAGTCAGTATGTTTAAAATAGCCCAGAAATAAATAGAGAATGTTCTTTATGAAATGTTGTGTATTTGTAACCTTAGGTTTTTAATAAAACCAAAAACACATAAGGCATTTTTTTGTTAGTAGTTTTTACAATTATTGGGCCTCTTGTCCTACCTGTTTAATAATGACAGGCCTCTTAATTCCTGTGAACTGACCCCATGAAACAGATGTCATCAAAGCAGAAACTCTGAGAGCTTTACATATGGAAAGGAGCTCTCCTAGGACTCATCAGGGATTTACCTGATGAAGAGTCTAAGTGTTTTTTTTTTTTTTTGTTTGTTTGTTTGTTTTTAAGAGAGAGAGAGAGAGAGAATTTTTAATATTTATTTTTTAGTTTTCGGCGGACACAACATCTTTGTATGTGGTGCCAACCATCCAATCCGGGCCGCATGCATGCAAGGCGAGCGCGCTACCGCTTGAGCCACATCCCCAGCCCAAGTCTAAGTGTTTTTTAAAAAATATTTTGTTAAGGTAGAAAATGTTTCCTGTAATATTCCTGAAACCCTTAAGTAAGTCAAACGATTATTTTTCAAAAGACAAATTTTCTTTTCCTTTAATTTTCTTCTAGAAGAATCTGTTGGAGGTCTCAAAAGTCCCAATATTGCCATTTACATGCCAGCTTTACCACAGCAATTGGAAGAGGTAAATCAATAGTGGATAAAATGATCTAACTTCTGTCTAGAGTTTAAATTATATCTAAGGGTTTTTATCCACTATTACAAAATATATCAAAGCAAAGCTATTATCTTTTACATCTGCACTATTGAGCTAAGAATAGAGCCATGCCTTGCAGAATTTTTCTTTCACTAAAATTTTACTAGTACATGTCCAATAATTTTAGGCAGTGACTCTCTTTTCATAAACTGCTTCAGCAAATTAATCAAGAGTGGTGAAAATGTTTGTAATTTATGAAGTATAATTCAGTATAGGATGTAGTTTGTAATACTATATGCACTTTCTATATTAATTTGTTTTTTCAAAATTCTGTATACATTGAACATCTAGGTGGAAGATTGAGTTTTCCAATTAATGTAACAATTCTTTTAGAAAAGAGTGGTCTTTTTTGATTTTGTAGTTGTTTTCACAGATTAATTAATAATCATGCAGTGATGAGTGTATGTAACTTATATTGTGTTAGTCTACTCACATTATCATGTATTTGTACCTGAATATGCTCAGTAGCTCAGAATGATAGCCAGAGGCAGTTCATATGGTCTAAGGATCTGGTCAGAGCAGTCCTGGGAGTACATGTTAGTATTTGATTTTCCCTTGCTTTTAAACTGTTACTCTGGGCAAGTAGCTCATGTGAAACTCAAAATACCCATCCCAGGAAATTCCTATTTGTTTTACCTCTTTTCATTTTGGGTACTATTTTTACAGCATCTGACAGAAGAGGTTTTGTGTCCAAGGGAAGAACCATGGGAGGCAAATATGAAAGAAAAATCAGTTGAACAGAAAGGGTAAGGGGAAGATAGTATGAAATGACTTCACTGGCTTCTTTAACTCAGTGAAGCTTGCAGCTTTTTTTTTTTTCCTCTGAAGTTGTACTATGTATTTTATGGTGTTATTATATTTCTAATGAAATTGGTAACTTAAGTTTATAGCTAGAGTAAACAATGATTTTTGGTAAATGTTACATTTTCAAGTTGTGCTAGAGTGGAATAAATAATAATATTGAAAATACCTTTTCTTCTCTATCACTATCAGTCTTATTAAAATAAAATATAACTGTAAATAGAACAGTGTATGTTCATCTGCCAATTAGCAAACCACCTTTCCATGTTTATGGAATCAAAGAGCCCTTATGCATCATGATTACACATGATCTTTCCCCATTAGCCCTGCAGTAGAGCTACAAGGAGCACATGCTCTGCTGGCTGACTTGTTACTGTTTCAGAAAGAGCTGAGGGCAGTTGTAGATATGAGTGTTAGAATTTTAGGATTACCTTGAATATGAGAGGCAACATAATTAGATTTTCTTTTTTTAGTATACAAATTTTGTTTAGTTCTACTGTGAAAAATTGACAAAAAGATTTTTTTTCCCCCCTCAGGGGTGGGGTTCRATACTCAAGGCCTTGCACATGCTTTACCACTGACCTCTGCCCCCAGCCCCCCAAATTATACATTTAACGTGATGTGCCTATATGAGATACATCTGTTTGTAAAAACTAGTCTTTACAGTTTCATACATGACAAAAATTTCTTTTTTTTTTTAAGATATTTATTTTACATTTATGTGGTGCTGAGGATTGAACCTAATGACTCATGCACGTTACCACTGAGCCACAACCCCAACCCCAACAACAATTTCTTCAGTGTTCTTAAGCAAAGTGTTTACCTGTTCCTTAAGAGAAATTTGGGTCCCAGCCAACCTCATGTCCCTCATTTTAGGTTCTGTTGTTTTTGTTGCTGAGCAATCAACATTGTTTAAGTTAAGTCATATAGAAATATTTTTTTGCTTTTGTTTGAATCTATTTCTAATCGCTATGGAGACAGATGTAAATAGATTATGATTATGAGCCAAACATTACACACTGTTAGAGGATGTTTAGACTCTTAGATGGCTAATCATTAGATCACCTGTATCTTAGATAATGTAAACAATATCTTCCTTCCTAATCACTTATTAACTTTTATTTATAGTATGACTGAAGCCTTTTCAAATCCTGAACATGCTGTTTCTCACTCGCTTTGTATAGATACAAATTCAGAAATTTCTAGGTAAGAATTTTTGTCTACTACTTTAAAAATGATCATGTTGTACAAGTAAGTAAGAGGATGAATTTATGCCTACTGTACCAGTTTGAAATAACTGCTAAATGTTGGCTAAAACTATGAAAATAATAAATGAACACACCATGCAATATTGAAAGAGTAACATAGCACAAATTTTTGACATCTTAGTTAATTATTCAAAGATTCTTTCTTTACCTGTTGTTAAGGACATACAGGGATACTTTTTTCCCAGAAAAAAAGTAGTGGATATATTATTGAAAGATGTAATTGTTGCTATTTTCAGCTTCTGATTTCTAATATCATTTGAAATACTTTTAATTCTCTTTTGATGAACAGAGTGCTTTCTGTTTAGAAATCGTGTATAATTAGGAGGAAAACATAGCATGGCTTTACTTTACAAAATTTTTACATAATTAGAATTGGTCTTCTTGTTAGTTGTTGAAAACAAAGCCCAGTAGTTTTTTTTTTTATATATATTTATTTTTTAGTTCTCGGCAGACACAACATCTTTGTTGGTATGTGGTGCTGAGGATCGAACCCAGGCCGCACGCATGCCAGGCGAGCGCGCTACTGCTTGAGCCACATCCCCAGCCCGCCCAGTAGTTTTTTTAAATAGTCATATATGTCATGATAGTTATTTTTCGTGAATGTTCCATATTAAAAAAATGTTCCATATAAAAAAAATTAATGTTCCATATAAAAAAAAGTTTTGTTACTGAGCATATTAGATGCCCAATAAGAGGCAGATATTAGCTCAAAGGGATTGACTGTAAACCCAAATAAATCTAAGTGCATTTTAGTATGCACTTTTTGGAAACAGTGACTAATTTATTTGAATATAAACATCTGTTCCTTTAGTTTATGAAATTTATTTGCTTAGAAAACATTGGCTACTTGCTATTTTTAAGGAATTGGTCCCCAACAATCATTTTATTTAAAAAAACAAAAAATTGCTGGATGCAGTGGTTTAAACCTGTAATCCTAGTAGCTGGGGAGGCTGAGGCAGGAGGATCATAATTTCAAGGCCAGCCACATCAACTTAGTGAAGCCCTGAGTAACTCAGCAAGACACTGACTTAAAATAAAAAAAATAAAAAGTGTTGGGGGTTGTGGCTCAGTGGTAGAGTGCCACAGGGTTCAGTCCCCAGTACCAAATAAATAAATAAATAACAAAACCAAAGAACTAGATTTGATCTTTAATTTTATTTTTAAATAAATGTTTTTATTAGTGTTTATTTTATTTATTTAGAAAAAGGAAAAAAGAAGTTTTATTGCTTTGCTAGCAAAGGAGAAACACAGGGAACTCCTGTCCTAGAGGTTGTGATTCTCCCCATCATGGGGAACAAGAGGGTTTTTAAAGTGATGATTCAATGGCTACATTCCAGGTGTTCCCTGTCCAGAGTTGTAATTGTTAGAGTTTGTTTTAAATGGGAACTGATTTATTTGGAAATGTTCACCACAGTGTTGTTTCATATTGAATGGTGATCAGCAGCTGCTTGCTTTGTTGATCCCAGAATTAATTTTTTTAACCTATTCTTTTCTTAGTTTTCTTTAATCTGAATCATTAATTTTAGTCAAAAATCTTATTCCTACGCCAAATTATGAAGTCTGTATAGTTAATCAGAATGATCATACGTCTCAAACTCAGATATCTGCATGGACCTATGCTGGACTTTCCTGTGCTGTAGCAGCATTGCGAGGGACCATCGTTGACTGTGACAGTACATGTCCCTGATACAGGCATTTAGATGAAAAATGATGGGTACTGCAGAGATCCTAAAAACTGCCAAAATAACCCCTAAATTTGAAAAAAAAAGTGGGGTCTAAATATTGATGTTACAGATTTTTTAAATTAATTTGCATTTTAAAAAATTTAAATGTTTCCATATAGTGTACAGATTTCTGCATTTAAAGGTAAATCTCCTTCATTTCTGCCCCTGGTATCAACTGGAGTCAATGTTGCTTCAGAAACACCTGTTCCATCACCTGGGGCGACCCAGAGAAGTGAACACAGGGCTCAATTACCAGATTCTTCAGATTCTGTTAGACAAATGCTACAAGATGAAATGTTTAAATTAGTTCAGGTGAGCATATCTCTACRAAAGTAAGTAGATCTACGAATGATTGTGTATGGTTTAAAGTTAATAAACTTCCAGAAATGAATTTCTCACTGGTGTGCTGCTCTCTGCTGCTCTTTCTTTTTTTTTTTTTTTAAGAGAGAGAGGAGAGAGAGAAGAGAGAGAGAGAATTTTTTAATATTTATTTTTTAGTTATTGGTGGACATAACATCTTTGTTTGTATGTGGTGCTGAGGATCGAACCCGGGCCGCACGCATGCCAGGCGAGCGCGATACCGCTTGAGCCACATCCCCAGCCCCTCTGCTGTTCTTTCTTGAAAACTTGTTCAAAACACATCCATTCTAGGAATCCTTTATTCTCACCCTCCTCCATTGAACCACTCCTTTATGATCCCTGGATGGATTTGTGAACTGGTTCATAGGTTTATGCATAGTCTCAGGTTTCAGTGGTGATTTAGTGTTTATGTTCCCGTACTTTTTTGTACCCTTTTTTAAAAAAAATCTCTCCTGGCCCTGCCTCCCAGTCTGCATTTATGAGTCTTGACAGATGCCGAGGCAAAAGTGTGACAAAGAATATTCAGGTGGTTATTGTTGATTCCTTAGATTCTTTTCATTATGTTTTAAGCTATCTCTTTAATTCTGTTTTGTTGTAGCTGCAACAGATCAACTTCATTAGTTTAATGCAAATAGTAGGATCATCTTTTGCTAACCTCCCAGATGTGCATCAACTTCTACAGCAGACTCAGATTGAACGTTTGGGAACAAGCCAGGTTTTAAACCCTACAGGAGGGAGTGATGATGTTGAAGTCAATAGAAGTAGGAATCTTAGTCAGAAAATTTTCATTAAACCACAGTCCATGGGAGAGTACACCAGGGAGCCTGGCAAGAATAACTCACATGGCCATGAAGGAATTATCCATTCTGATCAGAATAATAATGGAAATCTTCAGGTAATGCCAATAAAAATACCATTAATGTTCTAGTAGTCTGATCATTGTTCTTTTGGTATTTGAGCAAATTAATTTTTACTGATAAGCAGATGTTTAATGATACATTGCTCTTCACAGCGATGACTACAGAGACTTTTAAAAACTAATTTAGGAATTTACAACCAGGCATCACAGATCTGAAATAAACTGGTTTCTTACCACAACTACCTTGTAAACACTGCAACCTTTCTTCTCTTCAAAATGATCCTAATATCACATGGAAATGGTTAATGGGGAAACCAGAAACCTAGATTTATGAGCAAAACTATAAACAAAAGGGAAATATAGCAATTCGGGGGTTTGGTAAAAGCAGAGAATGCAGTGCTCTTCACTGTGCTGCTTTGCTCTTCTTACTCTTGCTCTTTTTCTCTCTTCTTCAGCCCTTCCATGTTAGCTCCAGTAGGCTTGAGTAAGCCATCTGAAACTTATTCACTTCTTTGGAGCTCACCACTGTGATGATCTTCTTTTTCCCATCCATTGCTCTCAACAGACACTTCTTGTCTGAGGGCTCAACACCCTCCACAGAACCCTTCCTCAGTGTAGGTTTAGTTCGACCATCATACTTCTTCAAGGTGATGTACGTGCTGCCGACAGCTGACACTTCTGGAAGAGCCTAGGCAGCTCCCCGAGGAACTACTGGCTCTCCAGGAGCACCATCACAGAACTGCTGGACCCTTCCGGTCAACATCAGCCCCCTGAGCAAATTAATTTTTTAATAATTTTCTTAACATTCCACCCCTCAAAATGTTTAACATCATTTACAAAATATGGAGTTTGTAATATTCTAAACTTACATTATATCTTTTTTTTTCCTTTCCAGAATGTTCCCCATGGGAGTGTATCTTCATGTCAAGTAGATGGCCAATCTCAGAAGATAGGACTCACCCCAGCATCTCAAAGCTTAGCACCCCCTTCATTTTCTCTAACTCCTGCTGGAAATACTCCCTTCCATCTTTTGTCCACGCCTTCTAATGTCTGGAAGACACCTAGGCTTATCCCACCTGCCAAAACGTCCAGTCCTGATTCTGGCTTTCCTTTGCTTCAGTTTGAGCATAAATATGAATTCAAGCCCCTTTCTTTACAAGCAGAAAGAGTACCACACATTCCCTTTCAGCCTCTGGCCCAGCCAAGAGAGGCTTGGGGCTTCCAGCCTCCTGTACCACAGGGAAAAATACCCGCTACCTCAGGATCCCACTCAAACTCAAGCCACTGCAGTACTGAAACCATAAACAAAGCAACTGAGCAGAAGAAATGGGCAGAAACTGTAATTACAGACATTCCTATGAAAGTGAACTTCAGTCAGTATATTGGAGAAGAAAACTTGACATCTCAACAGGACTCTGTAATATTAATAAAGCCAGAAAAACTCTATGATGCTAAGCAAGGGTCCCTTAAGATATCTCCTGAGAATTCCTTTGGACTTCCATTGTTGCACCTGCAATTTAAGTCTCCTTATATATTTTCATCAGCCACAAGAGCACCAATTACAGTTCCCCCAAGACATATTAGAACTGTAGCAGAAGAAAGAAAATACCCACAACTGTCATTATTGCAATCATGTTTGTCCTCGGAAAATATGGTAATTAATTTTTGTGCAGTGATACAAGGGCAGGATCCTACATTTTTTGTAACATGAATTCTATAAGTTCAGTGAAAACTCTAAATAATGCTTCTGGGTTTTTTGTATTTTAATTTCATATAACAGAAATTTCAGGTTTAAAATAAGTGTATTTTAGAGATATTAGGCCTTTTTTCTTTATCAGTATATCAGAATTTAATTGAATCTTTCATAGTTATTTCTTCTCAGAGAAGAAATAAAAAATAAAATATAATTATTAGGTGTTCTTGTTTGCATGTGGGTGTGCGCATGTGTAGAGAGCAAGAGTGAGCCAGTGAGATTGCTAACAATTGCGATATGACTCTCTTCAAATCTGTTATAGGTTAAAGTTAAGTCAACCCTGCTCTATCAGTGGCTGTGCATGTAATTAAATGGTAGCTTTGTAAACCCACCAAATCCTCTTTTAAGATATTATCTTTGATTTATGAAATACAAAATGTTTAGGTTCTAATTTTGTACATGAGTAGTACCATCTTAGGGAGAAATTCATTCTGTTGTATGCTTTAAGATTTAAAGATGATACTGGAAAGAGAAATGGCTGTTTCTTAGAAAAAATAGGTAGGATGCCTCCTTCTGAACACAATATAAAGAAGGAGGAAGAATTAAAGAAGTGGAAAAGTTGGCGTTTTGAAAATAATTTTTAAAAAAATTTTATTAGAATAGTATAATGAACCCTCAAGTTCCCATCACCGTATTTAGGGATTGTCAAACTTGTTTTAAAAATTAAACTAGAGGTCTTCGTCCATATCAATGTTTTAGTAGCTCAATTCACAATAGCCAAGCTATGGAACCAATCTAGGTGCCATACAACAGATGAATGGGTAAAGAAAATGTTGTATATATACACAATGGAATATTACTCAGTCATAAATAAAAATGAAATTTGGATGTAACTGGTGAACATCATGCTAAGTGAAATAAGCCAATCCCCCAAAACCAAAGGCTGAATGCTTTCTTTGATAAGTGGATGCTAACTCATAACAAGGGAGGGTAGAGAGGGGAAGATTAGAAGTTCACTGGATTAGACAAAGGGGAATGAAGGGAAGGGAGGAAGAGGGGAATAGGAAAGACAGTAGAATGAATCACACGTAACTTTGTGAATACACAACCAGCATAACTCCACATCATGCATAACCAAAAGAATAGGATCCTAATTAGAATGAATTATACTACATATGTGTATGATATGTCAAAATACACTCTGCTGTCATGTATATCTAAAAAGAACAACAACAAGATAAAAGGGTAGAAATCTTGAGGACCAGAGATATAGTGATATAGTGATACAATGATATATTGCTCAGTGATATAGTGCTTGTCTACCTCGTGCAATTTAATGTTGGATTTGATCCTTAACGTGTTTTTTTTTTTTTAAAAAAGACATAGTTGAAAATTTCCATTCTAAAATCTCTAATTCTTCAAAATATGAATACTTAGCTTACCAAGTTGTTATATTTGATTTTTTCTGTCTTTTGCATATTTTGGTTTAATTAAATTTTTTTCTCAGTTTGTCAACGTATTGTATATTTGAGTTTATAAAGTTTCATTATTTTGTTTCTTGTAGTGTAATAAACCGCAGCTTATCCCACTTGATAACCTCATTACATTTAAACAAAGCCAGCAGAAACTAACACATCATTTATTGCAACAAGGGGATTCTGGTTGCCTTCAGCTTCTCAATATCAAAGTAGAACCATCTGGAATAAGACAAGGAAAGAACAGTCACAAAAGGCAAGTTCTGGGCTGGGTTGTGGCTTGGTGGTAGAGCGCTCGCCTAGCACGTGTGAAGCCCTGGGTTCAATCCTCAGCATCACATAAAATAAAATAAAGATATTGTGTCCATCTACAACTAAAAAATAAATATTAAAAAAAGGCAAGTTCTGATTTTTTTGATGATATGTATCAATAAGTTATTACTTATAAATCCATATAGTCTTTTTTTTTAACTACAAGTATTTATTGATGGATCAAAGAATGCAGTTGTAATCCATGTAGTCTTAAAGATGGAAGTCCTCTGGTACAACCTCCTGGCTTAGTACACAATTTCATATTCTGTTTTCTTGCCACATACCCAGCCCTATTTTGTATTTTATTGAGAAACAGGGTTATTAAGTTGCTTAGTGCCTCACTTTTGCTGAGGCTGGCTTTGAACTTGCGATCTTCCTGCCTCAGCCTCCTGAGTCACTGGGATTACAGGAGTGTGCCACTGCACCTGGCAAGTGTCATGTATTTTAACATGTCTTATAATGAGGAAAATATCTCTATTGGGAGATAGCCTTATCTTTTTTTTTTTTTTTTTCTATTAGGGAATTTGTTTCTACTGTTCACAGGCTGGAGGATTCTTTTACGTGTTTTTATAACACAATGAGTAAAAGATGCTTGTCTTTTGCAGCAAAATATTTGGTATTCCAGGTACTATCTGATTCTTTGAGCCAGTATTTATTGTTATTGATCTTATATTCTACAGATTCTTGTAGTAAGCAGGAGGGTAGGTCATTGCTTCATGGCACTAAAAGGTGTATATGTACAAAGCAAGGCTGTAATATCTAATGAAGAGCACTTAGTGTTTTACCTGTAATGGATATTCAAGACATGTATTGATTGATTTACTGAATCTAGAGAATACTTCTAAATTTCACATTATCAGACTGTAAAATGTATTCCCATTGCTCTTTCCAGAAATGATTTACTCCTTCCATCCTTTCTGTGTTTTCCCTCTTCAATATAAGTCTTCTGTTTAGGTTTTTGGGACCTCTTTTCCTCCTTACTGGGATTTCACTGAGGTGACTAAATGTGCTTAGCATTATCAGGATAGGCAAATTAATATATCTGATATGATCTCTAGTACCAGCTTCAAATCTGCAGAAAAGAGAGTTTGACAGTTAATTAAAAGGTTTAAGCCTATCCTGAGATCCTGTGGCCACCAAAGAATAGTCAGTTAAGTAGTAGAAGAACTAGGAATAAATACCACATATTTTTTATTTTTTTGTTTGTTTATATGTCTACAATGTAGCAGAATGAATGTCTTACTAATTAAATTAAATTCTATTAAATAATTTATTAACATGATTTTAGTAACGATTTCTGTATAGCATGATACAAACAAAAAAACTAAGTACATTTTATACCTTTTTTTTTTATGGGGATTAAACCCAGGGCCACTCTACCACATATTCCACCACTGAGCTATATCCCCAGTCCTTTTACTTTTTTATTTTGAGGCAGGGCCTTGCTAAATTGCTGAGGCTGGCCTCAAACTTGAGATCTTCCTGCTTCAGCTTTCTGAGACTCTAGGGTTATTGGCATGTACTGCCCACGCCTGACTTATGCTGTTTGTTTTTAACAGGCAAAAAAGACGAACCGAGAAAGAGCTGCAAGAAAAAAGATGCGAAAAACTGAGGACAAAAACAAGTGTGAGTTTCTGGCCAGAGGATTCCTTCATTAATAATGATGACTCAGAAATTGCCATGAAACTCAGAGTATAGAACAACTACTTCTCTACTTTGCATGTTCACAGAGTTTGGTGTTTCTTGTGGCTTGTCTAGTAGTGCTGGAAGCTTCAGGTTGTGATTAGGAGTCTCTTCGAATCATTCAGTACACAGATCCCTGCATCTGCCTATGTGATTTTTTTTTTTTTTTGTACTGAAGATTGAACTCAGGGACACTTAACTACTGAGGTACATCCCTGGCCCTTTTTTGTATTTTAGAGATAGGGTCTCCCCAAGTTTCTTAGGGCCTTGCTAAGTTGCTGAGGCTGGTTTTGAACTTGTGATCCTTCTGCCTCAGGCTCCTAAGCCACTGGGATTACAGGCATATGCCACTGTACCTGGCCTTTGTGACATTCTTATGCTTGAAATAATTCTTTGCTTTTTTCTCTGTTATCTTAATGCATATGATTTGTGATTTAGGGTCTTCCTATTAGAATTTTACCACTCTTTGAGGTGCCTCTAATGTTTCCCAAAYATAGATTTATTTTATTTTTTTATAATTTTGTTTTGTTTATTATTATTATTGTTGTTGTCATTGTTGTTGTTATTATTATTATTATTGTTAATATGGTGCTGGGGATTGAACCCAGTTTCTTGTACATGCCAGGCAAGCACTCTGCCACTGAGCCACAACCCTGGCCAAACAAACATTTATTAGGTAACCTGTAAGTCAGATCTTTGAAACATTCTTTCAAAATCTGGTGACTGATTAGCTACTTGGGTAACAATAGATTAAATAAACAGAAGTTCATTCATGTGGATTTTTTAAAGATATGCTTTTTCAGTAAGTCCTTGTTTTAGTCAGCTGTTTCGCTGCTGTGTCTGTCTAAAGGATCCAACCAGCACAGTTGTAGAGAAGGAAAAATTTATTTGAGGGCTCATGGTTTCAGAAGTCTTAGTCCATAGAAGGCAGGTTCCATTCCTAGGGGCTCAAGGTGAGGCTTGAGCACCATGGTGGAAGAGTATGGCAAAGGGAAGCAGCTCACATGGTGATCAGATAGCAGAGAGAGATTCCACCCTCCAGACACACAATATATACCCCGTAGCCCCACCACCAATGAATCACTTTCTCTAGTCACACTCTACTTACCTCCAGTTAACCACTCAGTTAATCCCATCATGGATTAATTCACTGAATAGGTTAAGGCTATAACCCAATCATTTCTCCGCCAAAACTTGCATTGTCTCACACATAAGCTTTTGGGGAACACCAAATCTAAACCATAATAAGTCCTCAGGAGCATGTCTAGAGGCACTTCATGAAAATGTTTGTTGTGTCCATGAAAGATTTTGACAGGATTGGGATTCTGTTAGAGTATTGAAATTAATCTGCAGTAGATAATTGCACATACTGTGTTAGTCAGCTATACCTTGTGGTGACGAAAATACCTGAAAAGTTTATTTTGTCTCATGATTTCAGTCTATGGTTAGCCAGCTCCATTACTCTGGGCATGAGGTTTAACCAAGCATCATATTGTAAGGGTGTGATGAGGAAAGCTGGTCAACTTATGGTATCCAGAAAGCAAAGGGAGGAGACAGAGACAAGATGTAGTCCTCAAGGGCATACCCCCAGGGACCTGTTTCCTCCAGTCACACCCCATCTGCCTGTAGTTACCACTCAGAAGTCCATTCAAATTATGAATTCATCAAATGGATTAATCCACTGATGAGATTACATCCCTCAAGATCCAATCAATTCACCTCTGAATGTTGCTATATTGCCTAACACATGAACTTTGGGAGATATTTCAGATCCAAACCATACCAGTAACTTAGTAACTTTGTGTTAAATTGGTAATTATGTTTTTTAATTTCTTGGCTTGTGAATTTCATGAACTCATTTGTAGAGTTAACTTTTACAGAGTAAATAACTTGATAGAATAAGTAATTATGCCTAGAATGATAAAAATTGAACCTGTACTTAAGAATTTAACATTTTACAGTTATATTTTTTCCCCAAAATAAGTGTCTTGTAGTTAATCATAAATTGGTACTTGGAAATTCATTTAGGAACAAGAACATCATGTTTCTCAGCCTTTGGATGATTTCAGCATTCCTCTTGGTATGTATATGCATGATTAATATAATGTTTAAGTTTAGAGTTAAAATCAGCTTTTTAGAAATAGATATAATATAAAAAAGAGAATGAATTCTTTTCATATTGTCTTTGACAAGATGCATTGTGTTTGTTGATATCCAATAGAGCAACAGGTGACTACCTGTGCCCTGCTTAGGCTTGTTCTTGTAATCAGGTTTTATTGAGCATTGCCATGCCCATTAGTTTATGCCTTGTCTGTTATTGCTTTTAGCTGCAGCAGGATAGCATAGATGCTGCAGAGACCATGTAGCCCACAGACCCTAAAATATTTACTATTTGGCTCTATACAGATTTCCAACCCCTGCTGTAGGGTCATGTAATCAATTAGGATTTCAAAAATGAGGTAAAAAGCATGAAAGGAATTTATGAAAGAATATGCCTACGATTTAATTCAACATAGAAATATGAGTACTTTAAAAATAGAGAAATCAGTTCAGAAAAATAACTCACTTATAAATAATAAATTATTAGTTTTTCTTAAACTGGTCAGTTTATTTCTTGCCCCTTGAATGCATGTATTCCCTACATCTTTCTTCTCAGCAATTCATTTGTTCACTCCTGTGCTCATAGGGCCATTCAGTCATTATTTCAGTCATTATTTCAGTCATTATTTCAGTCATTACTTCAGCTTCTACATTTTTTTGATGTTGCTCAAATACATACACAGTCTCTCATCTTTCTTTTCTACTTTTATCTTATTAACATGTACGAATTTTAAATTGGCATCTTTCTGACATTGATATCACCATTCCAAGGCTTCTGCCTTGCATCAGGCCTCCTTTTAACCGCCTTGTAACCGACCTGCTCAGCTTCAGTCTTGCACTTCCTAACCCCTCTACAGTTCTTTCCCACTCATATTAAAACAATTTTTTCACTTGTGTGTGTGTGTGTGTGTGTGTTTTTTGTACAGGGGGCCTAGCACATGCTAAGCAGGTACAGTTAACTTGTATTTACATACTAGTATTAAGGTAAATATTTTCCCCATGTCCCTAGATGTTCTTGTACAATGTTATTTTTATTTTTTGGTACCAGAGATTGAATTACTCAGGGGCACTTACCCACTGAGCCATATCCCCAGTCCTTTTATGTATTTTATTTAGAGACAGGGTCTCACTGAGTTACTTAGGGCATCCCTAAGTTGTTGAGGCTGGTTTTGAACTCAAGATCCTCCTGCCTCAGCCTCCTGAGCCACTGGGATTACAGGCATGGGTGACCACACCTGGCTAAAATATTATTTTTTTCTTTTGCATTTGTTTTAGTTGTAAATGGACACAATAACCTTTATTTTATTTTTATGTGGTGCTAAGGATCGAACCCAGTGCCTCATGAGTGCTAAGCAAGCACTCTACCCCTGAGCTACAACCCCAGCCCTACAATGTTATTTTTAATGACTTCATTACACTCCAGTGGATGTGTGTTGTATCATTCCAAACAATTCTCTGAGACCAACCAAGAATGCTACAATTCAATTCATTACTGACACTAACTACCTGGAGTTAGCACTGATCACCACAGGTGAAGGGCTCAGTCTCACAAGAGGGCTTCATTTAGAAACCAGTTGTAAACAAGGTCCCCAGGACACCTCCATGGCTGCCAAGCTGTTTACAAATTCTCAGTTTCCTTTGACAGCCCCCCTTTTGCTCCTGCCTTCAAAATTCACCAGAATAATTCACAGAATTTGGGAAAGCACCTTACTTGAAATTATGATGCTTTTTATAAAGGCTTCAACTTAGAAAATGCCAAATGTAATGTTTAGGGCAGCAAGGAGGACAGCTCAGAGTTCCCATGCCCTCTGTAGGCAGGCCACTTTCCTAGCACATGATGGGTCTACCCACCTGGAATCCCCTTTAGTTGTTTGTTTCAGAATTTTTATTAAAGTTTCAGGACATAGGCATAACTTATCACAAACATGGCCACTGTGACTGAACTCAGTCTCTACCCTACCCTACCCTAGAGCTAGGGGTAGGATAGGTGGATAGGGGGCTGATAATTTTAACCCTCTAACCATGAGGTTGGTTTGTGTGGTGACTGACTCCATCCTGAAGTCACTCATTAGCATAAATTCAGGTTTGATCAAAAGAGCTCCTTCTGAATAATAAAAGATACTCCTAATATATACATATAACATATATATACACACACATATATATACACACATATATATATTCATCTATCCATATCTACCTATAGATATACACACACACACACACACACACACATATATATATATATATATATATATATATATATATATACACCTATCTATATCTATCTATAGATATAGATAGGACATTCTAAATATGTAAACAAAGTCTGTGCCTGGAACTAGGGACAAATACAAAACTTATGTTTTTTTATTATACCACCACAGTGTGCCATAATCTCCCTGTGTCATCTCCCAGGAAAATCTAAATCTAAATCCAAAACGCCATAATGTACGTTAGATTTTGATTTTACTTCCTGCTGAGCTTTCCTGCCTGAGTGGAAATAACCTTAAGTCACATGAGAAATCTGAATTTATTACCTCTCCCCACACAGTTTTCTTCTCCTATCTCTGTTGTCTATATCCATTTGTGTTGATGCCAGCCTAACCAAAAAAAAAAAAAAACATCATTCTGAATTCTGCCTTTCCCTTTCTTCTTCTCTTCAAGAACCAGTTCCTGCCTATTTTATCTCCTTCATAATTCTTAAATTTTTTCTCTTGCTTGTTTACATTGCAGCCTCATCTAACTAATTGCTTTATTTCAATTTTATCTGTGCAAATCTATTTTTTTTTTCTACACACTTGCTGGGGAGGTTTTTCCAGAACAGTAATATGGCCATAGCGCTTCCTTGGGTAACCTTCAACTGGACCCTCATTAGTCAGAAAAATCTCTAGGTTTCTTGGCTGAATATACTGTCTTCCACAGTATTAGTTTGGATTAGACTGTGTCTTTTGAAATTTAGCTCACATTCCACCTCATGCCAAGTCTGCTTCTATAACCTCCTAACCCCTTCCTTTATCTCCCTTGACTCACTGAGCCTCTGGATACCCCTTGAGGTGTGTGCTGCTCAATGATTGCTTCCAATGTTTTGTTACACTTAAGAAATGCTTAAAGACGATGTTAATACTTCCGCGGGATTGCACTTCATGGCTTCTGTACAAAAGAAAGTTATAGGAAGTCAGGATGCAAGCACAAATACAGAACCAGGTAAAGTACTATTTTTCTTTTTTAAAAAATTAATATATTTTAATGTATTTAAGATAATCTGTGTGTTTTCTTAAGGCAGCAATTTAAAGGGAATTTAAAATTATGTGATATTAGTTACCTATCTAAAGTTCTTCTCCCCAACAAGGGGAAATTAGAGATTGAATTTATAATAAGTAAAACATAATAGAGATTCTGTTTAAAACTGACATAGACTACATCCTAAGTCAGTAGAAATAATGTTTTGAATTGGATTATCAGTGCTCTGAGTTTCCTTCACTTGAATTGCTTACCTAAGGTTGAGGGGCCTGGGAGTAGGGCTGATAAAGTTGAGGTTGGTAGAAAACGAGATTGGGGCTAGTGTGGGAAGGGCTCATAACTCTGTTCAAGAGCAGAGGAAGGGAATGTTTGAGGATCTGCTGTTAATTGCTTGTAAAACTTATTCATCGATATAACTAATCATTATGAATAGTATCTTGAATAGTGCTCTGCTCATTATGTCACAGTAATTCTTATTATGACTTTCAGTGAACAGTTTCGTCTGTGTATGGAATATTTTAAGTACTTTCTAAACACTCTAATTTTGTCTTTTTATAAAGTATTTACTGAYATCATTAAAAATGATATATAATTACTATAGAATATTTGGATAATATAGCAACTATGATAGATGAAAATTAACTATAATCATACAATTTAGCAATAATGTTTTGGGATGGTTTTGTCTTTTATCTTTTGTTGTTTTATGTAGTTAGATAGAATACTTAAATAGAAAGTATCCTCATTATTTGAACTCCTCTTGTCCAGGTAWTCCTTTTTCCTAGCTTTTCCCTGAGAGTTTTGTTATAGTTATTTCCCAAATAACTCGAAACTCTCTCAATTAGAGTGGTTTTGTTTATTTGTTTGTTTGATTTTTTTTTTTGTTTGTTTTTGGTATTAGGGATTGAACTCGGGGCATTTTATTATACCTTCAGTCCTTTCTTATATTTTATTTTGAGACAGGATTTTACTAAGTTGCCCAGGCTGGCCTTGAGCTTGTAATCCTCCTGTCTCAGCCTATCAAGTCCCTGGTACAACAAGTGTGCACCACCCAGCATAATTAGAGTGTGTTTTTAACATATTACTTCATTGTACTATATTYGCATTACAGTAATGTTGCATGCGGTCCTTGCTGCAGTGTTGAAGGTAATTCATATCTGTGTTCAATACTGCAGGGCACACACTACCAATAAATAAAAGAACATTAATTAAGTGACGTTTAAAATGCCTTATGGGTACTATGGTGTACACCTGTAATTCCAGCTACCCAGGAAGCTGAGGCAGGAGGATTGCAAGTTCTAAGTCAGCCTCAGCAATTTATGGAGATCCTATCTCAAAATAAAATGAATAAGGGATATACTTCAGTAGTAAAGATCCCCTGAGTTCAATCCCCATTCTGGGGGATGGGGGGAGAAAAATGAAAGAAAAAAAAAAGGGGACTGGTACAATGTTTTTTCTCATATGAGATAAGCCTCCTGGTATCTGAGAATTAACAGTTCAGTATATTTTCAGTAGATTAAATTTGGATTACAAGGTGTATCAGGGGTATTTTATATTTTATTTATTTATTTATTGGTACCAGGGATTGAACCCAGAGGTGCTTAACCCACTAAGCCACATCCCCAGCCCTTTCCCCTCACCCCCCCCATGGTACTGGGGATTAAACTCAGGGCTTTGTGCATGTGAAAGCACTCTACTGATGGAGTATATCCCCAACCCCATCCCCAGCCCTTTTATATTTCATTTAGGGACAGGGTCTTGCTAAGTTGCTTAAGGTTTTGCTATTGCTGAGGCTGGCCTTGAATTTGAGCTCCTCCTGCCTCAGCCTCCGGAGCTGTAGGATTACAAGTGTGTGCCACCACACTCAGCCTATTTTGTATCTCTTTTGTTTTACTTTGATTTCTACTTATGCCAAATGTTTCCCTGTATCATCAAAACAAAACAAAAAAAGTACTTTGTATTTATTTGCCATAAAATATTTAACCAATTTCTTATTGTTGAAGCTGCTGGCTACTTGGCAGGTTTTAGTTTTTTCTGCTCTATAAATAATGCATAAGACCCCCACACACACCTTTTGTCGTTCATATGATTTATGTAATTTTACTTTCCTGATCAGATAGGTGATAGAAAGTCATTTTTTTGTGTTTATTACTGATTGAGATTGGGTTGAGCATGTGAAAGTTGTTTTTTGAGACTGCTCATGTTGGTGCACACCTGTAATCCCAGAGACTCACAAGCTTGAGGCCAGCTTCAACAATTTATCAAAGCCCTCAACAACTTAGTAAGAGCCTGTCTTAAATAAAATATATTAAAGGACTAGGGATGTAGGTCAGTGATAAAGTGCCTTTGGGTTCAAAGAGATGTTTTTGAGGTAAATGATGAGTTTGCCTTTGGAAACATTCTTTAAATGTTGTTATCTAAGTATGTCTTTGAGAAGACCTTGAAGGTACTCTGCCTTGCTGCTGGGTAATCTTATAAAGTTGGCAGCCTGTTTGCTAAGATTCATCTGGAGACAGGCTGGGGAAATACATAAAACTAAAACTCTAAAATCATTGTTTAAATTGTTAAAATTAAGTAGTTGTCAATCTTTATTACCACTTTTTATGCTCCATATTTAATTGTCAGTATTCATATATTTGTTTCCTGTGTTTGTGAAATCTTTTCTGTTTTTTTCTTTTTGCTTCAAATCTTCTGATTTACAAGATAAGGAAGTTGCTTCTCAAGAAGTTGTTTCTGAATGTGATAAAAATCAGCAAATCATTTCTTCCACCTCAGGTGTGTTCTTTTTTTCTTTTCTGAAAACAGGGAGACTGATTACAGTTATATCTATATGAGGCCAAAGCCGAAGTCACCAACCCCATTTAAACAAGCAGTTAAACCAATCAGCTGACTTAATAGAAACAGAATGACAATTGTTTTCAGTTTCCTTTTTTCTGTTTTTTTGGTTAATTCAAAACTTTCATAGCAAGTTTCCTGTTTTCTTTATAACAATGAGTTGTATTTTTAAGCATGAAATTTGAAAGTAATGCTGTACTAAAATTGAAATGCTGGAAAATAAGATTAGAGCCCAAGAACAAAAGGCACAGAGTTACACTGCCTGCTAATGTACATGTGACAGTCCTGTTTATTTTATTTTATTTTTTTAAAAGAGAGAGTGAGAGAGAGGCAGAGAGAGAGAGAGAATTTTTAATATTTATTTTTAGTTCTCGGCGGACACAACATCTTTGTTGGTATGTGGTGCTGAGGATCGAACCCGGGCCGCACGCATGCCAGGCGAGCGCGCTACCGCTTGAGCCACATCCCCAGCCCCTTATTTTATTTTTTTAAATTTTATTTATTTCTTAGTTGTAGATGGACACAATGCCTTCATTTTATTTATTTTTATGTGGTTCTGAGGATTGAACCTAGTGCCTCACACATGCTAGGCAAGTGCTCTACCCCTAGCTATAGTCTCAGTCAAGACCTGTTTATTTTACTACTGAATAAGAAACAAATAACTTATGAAATTTAGATGTTAAAACATTTTGAGTGGTAAAATTTAGCTATGGATTCTGAATATACTGAAGACCACTTAATACCACCCTTTTGAAGAACATGATCATATCTTAATGTGAGAAACTGGCTCACCTGTCCAAACCCAAAGAATGGATTAAGAGACACAAGGTATAGCAAAAAAATGAGACTTTACTGATGGTCTTGCAAGATTGGGTATCTGGGTAAGTGGGCACCCCCAGAGCAGTTACAGTCGGCATTTTATTTCCTAGTGTGCAAGTTCCCTTCCAGGTTCCTCACTGGCCAAGTGCACAGTCTACTCCAGCATTTCGTAGGTTTTACTGTCTTGTCTTTACTCTTGGTTATTTCAAGAAATGTCTTTAGTTGTTTCCACCCTTTGTTCTCTCATGATGGGAAAGTGTTTTTGGGTTGAATGTATTCTAACATGTATGCAGTTCTTAATTCTTTACCTAAGTTACTATTTTCTAACAGAGAGATTTCTATTTCTGTTGGTCAGGCTAGCCTCTTCCTCCACCTCCTGTTTGTCGAGGGGCTGTTCTGGTACATGGATTTTGGATCTGGCACATCCATAGGCTATGGTGCTATTGTGAGTTAACTGCTTGTAACTTTCCATTCTGCTCTATTTTCCCTCCAGCTGCCTTTCTTACATCCCAATTTTACATTTAAGGCTACATACTGTATTCTGAAAACGGACTTTCTATTTCTCATGCCCCCTCTTCTTTTTTTACCTTTTGGTCTCATTTTCATTTTTGTGCTTTTTTCCTTTGGTATTGTCATGTATCCTAGCCATATTAGGTTTTTGAGGAGGAAACTCCCATGGTAAAGAGTTCACCCCTTTTTAGCAGTTCTGAAGGTGTCCCAGTGTTCCAGAGCACTTGATAAGGTCCTTTCCAATTCAGTTGAAGCTTGTCTTCTTTCCAGGCTTTGATTAAAGCCAAGCCACCAGGCTGGAAGTGATGAATTGTGACCAGAGGAGATATCCCTTTAACTTGAGGGATAATAAAGTGAAGGATATGACTAGTATATATTTTCTTTTTTTTTTTTAAATTTCTTTTTTATTTCTTCAGTTGTTGATGGACCTTTATTTATTTTATTTTATATGCGGTGCTGAGAATCGAACCCAGTGCCTCACACATGACGGGCAAGTGCTCTACCACTGAGCCATAACCCAAGCCCCTGGTCTTTACTTTCTATAGAAAGAAATTCTATAGTTTTTCCCAAGTAAGGGAGCTCATATAAATGTTATATAAGCAAAACAACAGAAACACAACAAAGTCTTTCTATGTAGGAGGTTAAGAAGATTTGTAGGTCTCAAATTGACTCAGAACAAATTTATGACTCTGACAGAGGTTTTTAGAGTTATTAGGTACTCCTGTATAAAACCCTTCCTTTAACCTCCTGGTTTTACTTACTTTTGGGAGGACTGACACAAATGTCCATGAAGTTACATTAAAAGAACCATTGTCTTTTCTTTAATTGTCAATGTATGGCTGCGCTAAAATATTTAAAATACTCTCCTGCCAGGTATTTAAAACCAAGTTGGTCAAAATTGATCTTTTTCTTCTCTGTTGTTAAGAGTCAGCTGAGATTTGTTAGAGATCACTCTTGGGAAGTTGTGAGAAGCTTCTTGGTTTCTTTAGCTTTTTTCTACTAGTAGTGCCACCTACAAAATGGGTCAGGGTCTTGCTGACCACATGTAGTTTCCCTTGGAAGCATCAGGGACATTTCCATCTTCAGTGACCTCGTCTTTGCAGAATGTGCACTGGTTGGTTTTCTCTTCTCTAGAGTTGTCAGAATTCCCCATAGTTCGAAAGTCAGATGACTCATGAGAGTTGCAGGTCCTTTAGAAGGGTCCTGTTGTTCCCTGGGTCCTTGCTGACCTTAGAGTGCAAGGGCCACAATATTGGCTACTTTCTCCTTTGCCCTTTTATTTCCTTGACTTTTGTCTCCAAATTTTGGTTTTAAACATCCAGCAGGCCAGTTTCACCAGTCTTAAATTTGGAGTACTGTATTTTAACTTTAATGTCTATAATTTTATAGTTTTCCCTTACATTTAAGTGGGGTCAGCATTAGTATTGGACATCTGCCTTATATCCTGTCTGTCCTACAGGTGATGGGGTATTATCTCAAATTAACTCAGATTGTTCTATTAGAAGAAGTACTTCTACAAAACACTAACAGGCAGCAGTTACTAAGGTATACAAAGAAAATACAAAATGAACTAGAGCAAAATATATTCAGTTTGTATAATAGCTTTGAACCAAGAAACATTATCTCTAATACCACAAATGTATATTTGATRTCTATTTTGCCTCACAAAGACCCCACATATATATGAGTTCATTCATATGAGATCCTTGACAAATTTTACTCTTTTAAAACTCTTTTACAGCCTTTAAATACCTTTTACAATTTATCCAGTTCTTTACTTAGTTTTAAATTTTATTTTCTGTCTTGTTTATTTTTGAGATTGTAGTACCTTTATAACAAAAATATATCATTTGAATATAACTTTAAATAAGCTTAATTCTGGCCTAATTTTGGAGCCATCCTATCATGGAATAAGGTGAGAGTCAGAGTCTTAAATCAGATAGGGGGGCTCTTGACAAATCTAGGCAATCTATTTTATTTCTAAAGTTGATCTTTACCTCTTTCTTAAATATAATTTACAAAGTTTTCATATATTGTTTCCCAAGTCTAAGTGAATATCAATTAACACAATACAACAGTACATATAAAACATGAATCAAGGGCTGGGGATGTGGCTCAAGCGGTAG